ACCGCGCGAATTGGAATGCGACGATGCGTATGCGGGAACTAAAAGGGCGCGAACGCGAAACGAGCATCGACTCGAGAATTTTGCAAGTCAGGGGGAAATAATATCTTTCTTGGCAAAATTATTAAGAAATTAGCATACGAGACATTTTATCGAAAGAATTCAGACGGATTATAGAGTGGAAAGAAATATTTCTAAAAAAAAAGCTAATTCCCTTTCCGAAAAGTTTATCACATTACTCACGTGATTCTCTTCGAAAAATGTTCCAAGCATGTGGCGCGCCAACTTCGCGTCGCGTCGCGTCGATAGGTTAACCGGACGCCTCGTCGGAGGATAAAGTTGTACAACATTGCGCGACGAAACAAGAAACCGCCAGACGTATGGCAAACACACTTTCGCACTTTCGATGCGTTTCTCGCAGTACTTTTTTGCGCGCGATCGAATTTCTGGCGCGAGTAAAAAAGCATTCCCGACGTACGAGCCGCGCGTGCGAGGTCGCCCGTCATTTGAGAATATTTAGGCGGCTGTGACCTGTGACGTAATACGATATATCGCTGCGACGCGCGCGATATGAATACGCGGAACGCGCGAATTGGAACGCGCGCGAATATTGGCGCGAAAATTGATTCTTGAAAAAAAAAGCCAAGGACGAGCGTCGATTTGATCCTGTCCAAGTAGTCTCGTCATTCGACAATTTTACGACGAAATAAAGCTACAATATACGCTCATGCTTCTACGGAGAGAGATCGATATGTTTACACACGACCGGGGGTTACGTAAACGCGAGAAGTTCATTGACTCCGGCTCGCTCATCCCGAGCTTGGGTTTGCTTGAAACCCTCGCCTCGATTTCGACGACTCTATCCTCTCTGCACTTTGGGAATCGTTTTATTCGTGCGTGCTATAAAAGCGCAAGTATTGAAATCGTTGTTATTTCGGCAAGTTCAATCTCGATGCTACGGGAACGGAAAAATATACCTTATGCTGATTGTTGTGTTTCCGTCGTTACGAGAAAACGGAATTTCCTTATCTCGTACTTATCGGTAGAATCTGATAGAAATCTAATCTTATCAAAATCATATCGATCCGAGATGTCAATTTGAGAAATTACAAATGGAATTACGAAGAGAGTTTAAAGTAAAAGGTTTTATATATTATTCGTTTTATATTACTGTGCGTTACATTTCAATTTATCAATTGCTTTTTGGCGACAAAGGGATTTAGGATTAATAAACATTCGAGATTAATATTTGAGATTGTCATTTAAATAATTAAAGATTATTTTGTGAATATTTATATAACGTTATTTATATAACGTTAAAACTGACGAAAGTTGGTGATTACATTTACGCAATACTGCTATTGTCAAAATAAAAGGAGATATTTAAATGTCAAACCATTTCTAGAAATTACGCTGCGGCACCAAGGGTTAAAGTCAATTCGCGAGAAAATTCGTTACGCCGATAATCGAATGACGGTGCGGTCCATTGGAAAATTACGACAATTACAGAAATTACAGGAATTAAATGGACCATTTATTTCGAAAATGGCGAAAGGCGAATTGTTAAATTACAATAGAATTCAACAATTTATAAATTAGCAAGACTAATCATTATATAGACTGGTTTACTAAAAATAGGACAAAATATTTCCTACAGATATGAGGATATAATAAAATATTATGTTTATGATATAGGAATTAGGAATTTAAAACATTTTATAAGAAATTATTTTTTTCAAATATTAATCTCGAATGTTTATTAATCCTAAATCTTTTTGTCGCAAAAAAGCAATCGATAAATCGAAATATAATTTAAAACATTTTTAAGAAATAATTTTTTTCTTAACAAAATTGATATATTGTGTGTTAAATTAGAAAAAAATTAAATAAAGAAAGTATAGAGAAAATATATAGCAAATCTATCTATTTTTTAATTATAAAAATTATTCTCTTTTTTTATATCATATTCGCGATTCCTTCTATACGTTTTAATGAGATTCATGGCTCATGCTGTTTTCGAAATTTAAAAATATTAGAAAATCATTGCTTCATTTTCATTCTGTTTCTTTGGCTCCACCACTCTTCGTCAATTCGCTTTAATTTTGTAGATCCAAGAAGATCAACGTCACGAATTACCGAGATTGAAATAAACCTCCGAGCTCGATGTAGAGTCGTATCGGCGATATGCGCGCTTCGCCCGCGGAATCTCCGCGGAAAGAAGATATATTCAAATGTATGCAAGCTTTGTGCGCGGAGTTCCGAGATGCAAATATTTATACTAGAGTGAATTTACAATCCGACGGCGTTAATTATGCTTTCTCGCACGGTCCTCGCTGGAATTGAATATCAGTAGCAAAATGATGGTTGGAAAGTATATCTCGTCTCGCCGGTAACAATTATCCGAGATAGCTTTTCAAGAATTAATAAGAAATTGCCTTTTCGCATTTATGAATTTTATTCGTACATAGCAAAAGCATATTTTCATTTAATTTTATAATAATTATGGCACACTTTTATGTTTTCTTATACACGGAGAAAATTTTCTCTTAGAATTTACCCTGAAAAAATCATGGTAATCGTAGGACAATATGGTATTGGAAGAATTTCAAGAGTTTCTCTGATTAATATTTACCACAATAAAAAATATTAATATATGTACATAGTAAAATTAATCGAACATATTTTATATCTTATTGTGGTAGATATTAATCAGAGAAATTCTTATAAAATTCTTCTAATACCATATTGTCCTACGATTATCAAGATATTTTCAGGATAAATTTTAAGAGAAAATTCTTTCTCTCTCTCTTTGTGAGCCATTATTAAAAAGTGACGATAAAATAATTGAGACGACTCTGAGATAAGTCTATGCGAAAAGACTAACAAAAGATTAACGATGCTTCTGAATGCATGGACCAGAATAGGAAGAATCCGATAGTCTCGCGAGCTCCGATAATATTGGGGCTTCTCTAGACAGAAACGTTTATTCCGTCTGCAATCTGCCGCGTCTGCGATCGAACACGTCGGATTACAGGTCAATTAGGCTATATTCTTGCCAAGGACCGAGAATTACTTTGAATATTGCCTCGCAATTAACCACGTCCGGCCGTTGAGGAGTAATAGCGTGCGCACCAGAACGATTACGACTTCTACCTATATTGAGCGAATTGCGGCGTACCTCCATTTATTGCGCCCCCGTCAAGATATACGCAACACGCAGCCGCGCTTAACGTGCATTACATTCAGTATTATACTGGCGTCTCATGAAACCGCGGCATATCGAATTGTCATCGCAACAATTCGTTCCGATCGACGATCACACTGACACTTTCGGCCCTTCAATCGATAGACTAACGTTCAATATTTCGTACGAGAAAGCAAACTGTTTCTCGATGTGCAAATACAGTAAATAATTCAATGGCATAAACAAATACGCGTTTTTGCCACGATAAAAAATATGTGTATATGAAATATATAACATATAAATTGCAGAGATTATAAATAAATTGCAGTTTGATTCGGTGCACGATACATGACAAAATTATATGTCAAAGTCGTGATGTACAGAATGGCATATATGTATGTTAGAATCTTCATTATTTATGCATTTATACAATATATTTAATGCACAAGAAGTTGACGGGTACTTACGGTTACTCCTGGAAACTTGTATATGTCACATTGAATAATTCATAATCGTAAAAATTGTGTGAACATGTAAATGAACGAATTTTATTTTATTTTCAATTTCTTATGTAAATAATTGGATGAAATCAAAATATAATTTCAAAGATATTATTTTGTGATTGCAATAAGTCAAATGGTCTTGTGGAAAAACAGATATTTTAAATATATCAAAAAATTGTGTATGTGTGTGTCACACAAAAATATATATTTATTTAAAAAATTTAGTAAGCACTCTTCTATGCTGTTTTCTATAGTTAGAACCTTTATTATTAATGCATTTATTATATATTTAAAAGCGCAAGAAGTTGACGGGTACTTACGGTTACTCCTAGAAACTTGTATATTTCACATTGAATAATTCATAATCGTAAGAATTGTGTGAACATGTAAATGAATGAATTTTATTTTATTTTCAATTTCTTATTTGAATAATTGGAATCAAGTTGTAATTTCAAAAGCATTATTTTGTGATTGCAAGTCAAATATAATGGTCTTTAAAAAAACAGAATTTTTTTAATATAGCGAAAAATTTGTGTGTTGTGTATGTGTGTCACAAAAAAATAATATATTTATTTTAAAAATTTAGTGAGCATTCTTATGTGTTGTTTTCTATAGTTAGAATCTCGGTTAGAACCTTCATTATTAATGCATTTATTATAAATATATTATTGCGCAAGAAGTTGACGGGTACTTACGGTTACTCCTAACAACTTGTATATTTCACATGAATAATGCATAATCGTAAGAATTGTGTGAACATGTAAATGAATAAATTTTATTTTATTTTCAATTTGTTAATATCTGAATAACTGGATGGAATCAAGATGTAATTTCAAAGGCGTTATTTTGTGATTGCAAGTCAAACATTATGGTCTTTAAAAAGAACAGATTTTTTTCATATATCGAAAAATTATGTGTGTGTCACACAAAAAATATATATTCATTTAAAAAATGTAGCAATCACTTGTGCTGTTTTCTATGCAATTTTCTACAATAAATTAAAGTGCACGAAAAAAACGGTACCATCTGCACAGCCTCAAAAATAATGTATTAAATAATCCCCAAAAAATTAAGATGATTCTATGGCTATAAAAATAACTATCTATTCGCAATTTTAAGACGATAATTTACCAGTAAACATAATTAAATAAATGATTGATTTCATTATTTCATTATTAGCTAACACAATTGTTTTATAAAGTGGAAAGAGAAAATGCTTTTCAGAAAGTTGTTTTCACAGTGAGGCCTACAGACGGTCCGTTCAACAGCAAACCCCATTGACAAAGAGCACTTGATAGTGAGCAGCAGGTACTCACCGGTCACTGGAGAATGATCTGCTCCTCGAAGGATGCGTCCGTGCTTGCACACGTGGGGTCGGAGCGGCTAATCAACTCGATGCAGGATCACACGTGCATCTCGTATACGTTCCACGACTGTTTCGTCAACGTTGCGATAGAAACACGTTCGGTCATCATGATGATTATCTTATCGCGCATCACCACCGAGATTTACCATTGCAGACGCGATGCGAATCGATTCAGATTTTTCGGATAATAACCGCGCGATTTCATCTCGTTGTCTCACGGCCCGTCGAACGCATTGCATACTCCTCCAGAAATCGTTCGTGCATCTTCCAGTCCCGAGAATGCGTAGCCGATGATGGGAGAGCTCGAGGGACGATTACATCGCAGTCGACAGCAGCCTGCGGGATGTTAAGCGAGCCCTGCAAAAGATCGCGCCTTTTCACACACAATGCATGTCGGAGGGGCATAAAAGATATCGATTGCTATATTACGTCATATTACGTGCCGCCGCCGATTATTTCGTCGGCAGAACACCGAAGGTCAACGCGATTTCGATGGCGAATTATAAAGCTCTGACGTAATTAAGCGAGCACTAAAGAGAGAGATCTGGGATGCTCGAACGTATATTTTTTCTCGATCCATTTTACAGCCTGAATAACATGAATTTATATTACGAGTAAAAAAAAAGAAGTTGAATTATTGAATGTTACTGTAATCCACGTTGATGAATTTCGTCGCTAGTGCATTTTATCCGGCTGCATCCGATACGCTCTCTACTGCCCGATATATAACTTTCGAATCGCGTACCGGTTTTAATATTCTTACGTTACTTTTTTCGTTTCTCTTCGCTCGTCGAAGATTATAATCTCGAAAGAATGTAAATCTCTTCCCCCTCACAAAACATGTGTTGGGGGAAACATACGAGTGAGTATATCGTTAACAAAATTTTACAACTTTAAATTAAATTAATGAATTAACCAAAATAAAATTATGCATTTGCGCTTGTATATTTGATCATTGAATTTTCTCTCGTGCTCGTTTTAATTACGCATCTAACTTTCAGTTTGCATTAATAAATTCCTTTAAAAGAAACCTTACGAGAGCCGCAGAAGTTGCACAAAGCGCGAGGCGCGCATTTCATATGCCGTTCATAAAATCGAGCTTCGCGCAACTCCTGTATAAAGGTATAGGGTTCTGAAAAGGTTTCTTTATAAGGACGATGTATATAAAAACGAGCGGTCCAAAAGGGGGATTCGAGGAGGTTCTTCTAACGAGTGGTTGGAACGATAACCCGAAAATTCAGGCTTCTCAGATGAACAATCGCGAAGAAACGATATGTGCATTTGTTGTAATTATTTATGGCGCGCGTAAAATTTTTATTGCGCGATGGCGTGCGATCGTAGGAATGCGCCGTTAACTTTTACTGCCGCGTCGTACACGTTTTTGCGCCCGCAGGCTCTGCTTGTGCACGCGTGTACCTTGCATATACGAATGCACATATATGCATGGGCATCCGCAGAGGGGAACAAGAGGGGGCATTTGCCCTCCCCCTTGGAATCAATAAAAAAAATTAAGCATTTGCTCTCCTTTTAAATAAACACTCAAATTCATTTGCATATTTAATATAAAGACAAATGAAGATAAAACAGAATAAAAAAAATAAATTTAAAAAATGAAGAAAGGACAGAAATTAAAAAACAAAAAAAATTAATTATGCCCCCTTCATAAAAAAAATCCTGCGGACGCCTATGCATGCGTGTGTATGCATGTTGCAACCAAACGAAGGAACAGACGTATGTCGCGCATTCGGCTCGTAAACACCGGCTATAAAGCATGAGGAACTCGATCGCGTACGTTGTTGCGAGGGGCCTTTGAGTCTCCGAAGGCCCATATCCACCTATCACGGTGTTATATCATCGCGGCCCGCCATCGGCCTATATGTCATTGTTAAGAGCGACGTGACACCGGGCGAGAGACAGAGAGCGCACCACCTGTTACACACATTTCGCTATTTACAAGCGGGCAACGTGCCGTGCACACCGTTGAATATTTACATATTCATTATATTCCCCGCGTGGCCCCTTTCGAACGCCATATCCGGATCGATCGATCGAAGACCGTGCGTCAGGAGAGATCCGCTCTCGGAATCCGCGCGCGTGCGTCGAAATTCGCGTTCGCCGTAATTCATTAGGATAATTAAAACGACGCGCTCGCGCGCGCAATTAACGCGAGTCCCGCAATTGAAATATTTCATTTTGCGTGCGAGCTATATTATTCGCTTTATGGGCCGCGGAAAGAGAGAGAGAACCGCATGTATACGGCTATACATTACAACGGGGCGACTTGGTAATATTACGCCACCGTCGCCGCCACCATCGTTGCTCGTAATAGAAAGGCATCGTCATATAAATTCATATTACGCGATAACGTTGATACGCCGGTATCAGCTTCCTATTTTACGGTGTAACGGCCGTTAAAAGCGTTCCGTTTCGCCAACGAGAGCTATCTGAATTCACGCCGAAAATAATCAGCTTTCCTCGCCCGACGTCGTGTAAAACGCGCTGATGAATCATTCGAGAGTCGAGGGTCCACGAGGTTCGCCACGAGATTATATCCGGTTACATAGCGCGTTACATTTGAGGTGCCATTTCGCAGATGTTATGCTATTATGCCTGCTTTATCGCGTCAGTAATTTCAAGAAAGTTTTATAGTTATTACATACAAACATTGTGTGCATGTGTTTTTATATAGTACTTCACACATTATTTTTCTGCGAGTTTTACAATTCTTTGTCATCTCTTTTTTAAAATTTTATCTATTTGGCATTTCATTTTTAATGCAACGCTCTATGTGTAAAATTGAAAATCATAAGAGAGAGAGAGACTAATCATCATCATTTCTTTTAAATATGAAAGCTTTGAGATTTCTTGGAAATTATTTGATCATGCATATACTTGTTCTATTATTTTTATTTATACATCTCTATTATTGAGACACTTTTATTATTTAAATTGTCAGCTCTCTTTATGATTTATCACATCAAATTTATAAAAACTAATCTATACACCAATTATCATGTAAATTTTTAATGCAAACAATTATTCTCTTTTGTGGCTCAACTAATATTAAGCGTTTTAAAGCGCGAATAAAATGCACATCTGAAAATTACAGATAGCTAAGTGTCATTCATCGTGATTATAGTATTACATAAAGCATAGTGTTGAAACTTACCATTCTTATCACTCACTCTAATCTTTGAATACGCACAAATAAAGTTTTTTTTTAATAATTATAAAAAGCAGCAAACATTTTTTTCATAATTTATTTGTACGTGTCAGATAGAGAACATTCAAAGAATGAATTATATAATCATATACTAAACATACATGTGTTAATGTATATGTTAACATAATTGAAAAAGAAAAGATTGATGGTTATTTTTGATACAATGATTTCTGAAAAAATTGGAAAGATAGGAAAATATATGAGAAGAGGATAAGAGGTAAAAATACAGCAAGTTAATTTCATTAATAAAAAAAGAAAAACATGAAATGTAGTAAAAGTGACACTGCAAGTATGCGAAGCCAATAGAAGAACATTTAACACGAAATTAATACTGTTATTCTGTTCGCGTTTTTCACATTGAATTTATGCGCATTCATTCAACTTTTTTTATTGTATGTGGTGCATTTCATTATTGTGCGATCCGATTCTCCGACTATCTTTATTGAGATAGAGAACGTATCCTTTTCTGAAATTATAATAGGGAATCTTTTTTTTGTGACATTCAACAGGTCATGGTTGAAACAAATTTGTACTGTGTATTTTTTCTAATGAAATTAAAATATATGACATAATATTAAAGACAGTGAAAAATCTTTATTATTTATTACTCCCGAACAGATAAAAAAATATCTATAGTTTACAATTTAATTGTGCATGATTTTTCATATAAAGTATATATTTATAAATTTATTATATATACATTGTTAATATAATGATCAACTCTTTGTTTTACCTATAGTTTAAATAAATTAAAGCGTGTTATAAATTGTGTTGCTCTTATACATAGTACAAAATGTCATATTATTTTTTTGAAAATAAGTATAATTTTCCGTTTTAATATAAAAGCTCTTGATTCCTTTCATAAAAGCTCATCCATATAGACACATGCATTCATATTACAAAGATACACCAAGGACATCATGTTACATCATCAGTCCATATTCACATCGTATATTTAATATAAAATATATCTGATTTTCATCCCACGATGTTACGTCGAATGCAATCTTCATATTATATATAAAACTTAGAATTAAACACGATAACCTTTAGAAACGCGAACACGAATGAATATCATAAATTGAAAAACGAGGGATTTAAATGCCAAAATTAATAATATAAAAAAAAGACATACCAAGACGGACTGTTTCGTTCATGTCTAAAAAATTCGCGTAAAATATAAAATTCTGATCGACGATGTGTATTATATAAAGACAAGAATATATATTTTTCAAGTTTTTCACGGCGGTATATATATACAATAATTGGATCTCTTTTTAATTTACGACAATGAACTAAGTAGTGACGCGATATACAAATCGATGTCGGACAATAACACCACCAACGTGCATACATCGATCATCTCAAATATATATGTATGTATATATCTATATATATATAGCAAATGTACACCAACAGTTGCGTGCAAGCAAATGTGACAAATACGTAAGAACGATTATATATGCAGAACATCGACATGATTTCTTGCGAATATATATATATATACGAGCGAGCGAGCGTGGCAAGATTCGGCGTATATATACGGAGACGCAACGTATCGGCCTGACGTGTATCCCTCGCGGGTTTGCTGTCATCCGCCGACGCGTTGATCACCGCCGTCGTGCAACCGCAAGGCGCGCTCGCAGCGACACGCAGTATGTGGCTCTGCGCGTTACACGTAAATCACGCAATCCAAAAGGAATCAAATGATTATTCGGTTTACCATCGTCGTTCGGAACAACCCTCGCGGTCGTGCATAGCATCACGTTCGAGCATCGCTATCTTCTCTGTCGTACATATTCGCCCTCCCAGCCACCCTCTCTATCTCTCCCGTTCGCTCTTTTTCTCTCTCTCTCTCTCACACACTCGCACACTCTCTCCTTTTTCCTCTTTCTCGCGCTCTCGCTCTAACGCCCTCTCTGTGTACAAGCGTCCTCTCTCCCACTTCCTGTCTCCCGTTATCCCTCTCTATACACGAGAATTGCACGCCCGGGGTGAAGTTTAAGGACCGTCACGCGAGTGTATTTTTTCTTACACGAATGTCCACCTCGAAGGTCCTGCGGGCACGATGATAGGCACGAGGCTAAGGTGTCTACACATCTTTCGTCTTCTTCTGGGTGTCGCGTTTTTCCATCTCTTTCCCTCTCTCTCTCTCTCTGACTTACTCCTTTCCTCTATCCCTCGCGCTCTCGTCCGCTGTTCCACTTGCCCTCTGCTGCGCGGTCGTCGTCGTCGTCTCCCAAGAGAGATCGGAGCGGACGAGAGAACTCGCGAGACGTGAAATCGAGATCTGTCTCGAGCAGCGCCGTGTTATCCGGGTAGCGTAGCACGTGAGGCAACAATAACCAAGAAAGAACGACGATACAGTGGCCGAACACGGTACAACGAGCAGCGGAACGTCGTTGCGCGAAGAATGAACTTGATCGTGAGAACGAGAGAGAAAACGATGACAAGAGGGTAGTGGCAAAAGGGATGAAGCAGAGGGAGAGAGCGTGCATATATACCAAGAAAGAGAGAGAGAGAAAGAAGAGAAGAGAAAGAGGGGGTAGAAGAAGGTAGAAGAGAGGAGTTGCAGGAAACAGATGGACGGAGTAAGAGGAAAGGAGTAGGAGATGCTGCACTCGTCCTTCTCTCTCTTTCCTGCGCACCAGAATCGCTCCGAATAGTCGCGTGCCTGTCAAACAGCACCCAGGTCCACCGTGGCGTATCGAAAGCAATGGAGATGATGACAATGACAACGACGAGGACGATGATGACGGCGCTCGAGCGAAAAGAACCCCACAACGATGACAGCGACAACAACGACGACGACGAGGACGACGACGACGAGGATGACGACGAAGACGAAGGACGACGAGGATGAAGGAAAACGTGTGAAACCGTCGCCAAATCCGCACCGATGGGAATCGACGATGATGACGACGAGGATGATGACAACGTTCGACGACGACAGTGCTGTTCTAGGCGTCGCGGCGCTCACACACCGGCTCACTGAGCTCGAGGTGGGCGACACCGGCGGAAACGGAGGATCACGGCTACGACCGACGAGGACCGAGAGAACGAGCCGAGCTTTTTGATGAAAAGCGCAGGCGCGACGAGAGACGACGGTACGAGGGTGCCTCTCTTCTCTTCTCTCTCTCTTTTATCTTCGACATCTCTTTCTCTCCACCGCGCTTTTGTACACGCAAATGCTGTATATATCTTTTAATCCTGATTCACGAACCCGGACTTTATATATTTGGAATCGTTGTACGCTTTCGGGGGAGAGAGGGCGGAGGAATTATTGGACCCAGTAGTATCAGTAAATATCGTTTCGCACCCTCTGTCTCTCTTGTAAATCGAGCTTTCCCTTTGCGCGCCGTCCTAGGATAGAGCGTCGCATTTGCTACGAACTTTGAAAGGTCGATGAGATTTGGCGTGGGAGTCGATGGCCGCTATTGTTGACTGTCGTCGTCGTCGTCGTCGTCGATGTCGCCGTGATTGTCGACGTCGTTGATGTTTGATGACACATGAGGTGCTCGGGGCAGCCCTACGGACGTGCTTGTCGAGCGAAACGCGTGTGGTCGAGAGAGTTGTACTTCGCTTTGTGGTGCTATACTTCACGACACGGTTCGGCAGTAACGAGCTCGAAGAGAGAGTGAGTGAGCGAGAGGTTGAGAAGGAAGAGAGGAAACGGTCCTTTGACCGCTGTCGTAAGGTCTGGTCTCTTCCTGCCGGCTCCAAGATACTTCCGGTCCTTTTCCAGGGACGCTTCCGGCGGCCCTTCTTCAGGACTGGCCCAAGCGTATACCCTTGCTTTCGTATACCTTGGTATCTTGTGCGCGCGGCCAGGAAACTGACAGAAGCGCTGTTATGTTGCTGGAACATAATCGACGAGGAAATTACGTGTACTGTGCACGTCACATGCGACGCCGGTACACTCTCGTCGTGACTAATTTACAGTGCACCCTGAAACTACGAGTAAATTGCTTTCAGTAATTGCCTTTAGGAAGACCGCCGCGCCGGCTACTTTATTTTGTGCAAGTAGGTTAAAGTTATATTTTAAAGAGGATTAATTTTTTCAAAGAAGGCTTGAAAGCTCGGCTAAATTATATTCCCCAATTATTCTAATTACCCTATTATGGAGAAGGTCTAGATATAACCGTTAAAAATGCTAAAAATAAAAAAAATTTCACAAGAGATTGTTCACATTTTATTAAAATACGATTGAATTTCTATTAAACTGTTTAAACTCGCGTGATATTTCGCATTAAATATACCAGAAATAACTAAAATCAAAATTTCCGCGTCACGTAATTATAAAACAACATCGAGCACATTTTTAATGTACTTCAAATTTGCTTTGAAATTCTAACAAGAAGTATTTTCATGCTGTGGTTATCCAAAATGATGAATTAGAACTTTTCATATATGGTAAGATATATAAAAAATAATATGTGTATACACAAAGAGAATTTTCTCTTAGAATTTACCTTTAAAATCATAGTAATACAATATGGTATTGGAAGAATTTTTTAAAAGTTTCTCTGATTAATATTTACCACAATAAAAAGTATTAATATGTACACAGTAAAATTAAGCGAACATATTTTATATTTTATTGTGGTGGACATTAATATTTTTTATTGTGATATAAATATTTAATCAGAGAAACTCTTATAAACTTCTTCCAATATTATATTGTTCCATGATTACATGGTTTTTTAGATTCTAAAAGAAAATTCTCTCTATGTGTACACATATGTCCTTTCAAGAAATGAAAGTTACTAATGATTCTCCTAATTATCATGCGAAATAATAACGCTACGTGAACTCTATTGACATAACGCAGTTACATTTCGCAATTATATTGTTCCGTCGACCGACTTTTCTCTTCGTATATCCGAGATGAAAAGCTCAGCGTTCCGTTTAATATGAACAACAACCTAAAGCAGATAGTCTGAGACGCTTATGGCTCTCGAGCGATATTTTCAACGTGCACGCCTGGAACGAGAAACGTTAGTTTCCCGTACCATTTGCCCACCAAGTAAACAAGCTCTTTATACAAGCGGTACGTACGGGATGCGGCACTGCAATTATCCTGTCTATCTTGCAACGAGAGGTAGGGAAAAAAAGGGAAAGCGACCATTCGTAGCCGTGCTATAAAAGTTCCAATATCGAGATGTTTGGATATAAAAATGCACAGCATTCAATGTGTGAATGCGAAGATATGTATTATATCAGCAGATTCGTGTACCTCTCTTTTTTTCCTTCCCCCCCCCTCTCTTCCTTTCTCTCCTTAATTTCTTACTATTTCACATTCTGCCCATAAACGTACTCATTTTACGACCTTTGACATTTGAATATACTCGAGAAATTCGCTTAATTATTATAAAATATGGAAATTTAATCCAGGATATGAGATGAAAATCAGATATCTTTTTCGAATGATAATAATTAAGAAATGAATCAAGAGTTATGTATATATACAAGTGTGTACTTGAGCTTGGAAATGAGATTCGCTCCGTTGGCTTTATCGAGAGATAGTTCCGTATATTCAGCACCAAATATACGTGACCCTTATTCCAGGTTTACGTTGAATGTAATGTCGAAAAAAATTTCGATAATAAACGAGCAAAAATCAATAAATATATAAAGTGATTATAAAAGTGCTTTCCAACTTTTTTCAAACGAAAATATAAAAATTAAAAATTCTTCGAAAAGGTACACATTTATTTTATAAATTATTTTCTAAAAAAATAAAAAGAAAATTATTTTAATCTTATATGTAAATTAATTTTAATTAGATTTTTGTTAATTTTTGTTAATAGAATATAAATAAAAAAATTCAGATATTTTTATAAATATTTATCGAAAAATAAATTCTCTTTCCCTTTAAATGAAAGGGAAATATTTTAAAAGAAATTTTGCCGCATATTTAAGACCGGAATATTAAATCGGAATGCATATTTAAAAGTAATTGATTGTACAGTTAATTACAAAATATTTAAAATTATTCGACATTGCATGAAAATATCTCGTATGTACATGCGATTCGCATAACTATTTTTAATATTATGTCATATAATATCAATTTACATAAAATATATATCTGTATTATATTTGATATTTTTTAAATTATACCATGATTGATTTATAAATTAAAAGTGCAACGCTACACGGAGAGAATTTTCTCTTAGAATTTACTCCAAAAAATCATGGTAATCGTGAGATAATATGGCATTGGAAGAATTTTATAAGTTTCTCTGATTAATATTTACATCACAATAAAAATATAAATATCTATCAGCAAAATATAAAATACATTCCATTAATTTTATATTTTATTGGTAGATAATAATATTTTTATTGTGATGTAAATATAATATATTAATCAGAGGAACTCTTGTAAAGTTCTTCCTTACTATATTTTCTCACGATTACCATGAAATTCGGGGTACATTTTAAGAGAAAATTCTATTTGTGTACAGTTGCTCCTAGAAAAAAATATTAATAATATGTTCAAGAAATATATTTGAATAAACATGTAAATTTGTACATCAGAATATCGCATAAAAATTTTTTAAAGAATATTTATACTCACAAGTTTACTTTAAATTGCATGAGAATATCTCATGACTACTTTTCATATTATGTCATATATAATGGTCATTTAATAATTTACATAAAATATAATCTGTGTATTAAATATGATATTTTTTAAATTATAATACCATGATCGATTTATAAATCAAAGTGCAATGCTACATGGAGAGAATTTTCTCTTAGAATTTGCCCTGAAAATTATGTAATTATTGGACAATATGGTATCGAAAAAATTTTATAAGAGTTTCTCTTATTAATATCTACTACAATAAAATATAAAATATGTGCGATTAATTTTACTATATAGATAATAAAATTAATTGGACATATTTTATATTTTATTAGTAGATATTAATATTTTTATTGTAATGTGAATATTAATCAGAGGAACTCTTATAAAGATCTTTCAATACTATATTTTCTCACGATTACCATGAATTTCAGAGTAAATTTTAAGAGAAAATTCTATTTGTGTACAGTTGCACCTAGAAAAAAATATTAATAATATGTTCAAGAAATATATTTGAATAAACATGTAAATTTGTACATCAGAATATCGCATAAAAATTATTTAAAAAATATTTATACTCACAGATTTACTTTAAATTGCATGAGAATATCTCATAACTACTTTTCATATTATGTCATATATAATGGTCATTTAATAATTTACATAAAATATAATCTGTGTATTAAATATGATATTTTTTAAATTATAATACTATGATGGATTTATAAATCAAAAGTGCAATGCTATATGCAGAGAATTTTCTCTTAGAATGTCCCCTGAAAATCATATAATTATTGGATAATATGGTATCAAAAAAATTTTATAAGAGTTTCTCTTATTAATATCTACTACAATAAGATATAAAATATAAGATAAGATATAAAATATATGTGCGATTAATTTTACTATATATAGATAATAAAATTAATTGGACATTTTATATTTTATTAGTAGATATTAATATTTTTATTGTGATGTAATATTAATCAGAGAAACTCTTATAAAAGTATTTCAATAAAATATTTTATCTCACAATTACCACATGAATTTCAGGGTAAATTCTAAGAGAAAATCTCTCTGTGTATAGTTGCACCTAGAAAAAAAAGTATTAATATGTTCAAGAAATATATTCGAATAAAGATGTAAAAATTGATACATTAGAATATCGTATCAAAAATCATTTAAAGAATATTTGCGTTCGCAGATTTACTTCACCTAAAATCAAAACGAATACACTTACACATATCGATCGACGCGAACGAGAAGCTACGCGCGCAAGTGCAAAGTCGCGCGATTTCTTCGCTCCCTCGCAAAGTTGACATGCAGCTTTAATATTCGCGTCGAACGAATCGACAAGGCTGATGATGAATGACACTAGCAACAAGCGCAGCCATCAGCGGCGCGCAGAATTGCAAATATTCGTTTTTACGTCCTTCCCGAGACATTCATGGAGTCGGGCCAACATATACCTATATATATATGTATATGTATTAGGCGGGAAAAGTGGCGTTGCACTTACCTAGCTCGCGATTGTGCGAAGATACGCAGGCGGATCGATGCGAATCGCGGGAGGCAGCGCTGCTCGTCGTGTCGTGTCGTGTCGAGAGACCCGCGAAATGTTGTAACGCGAATATTCCACCCTCTCGCAATCAAATATGTGTGTATACACACGCCGGTATATGCGGACGCTCCACGTACGCGATGTTTTCGCGCGCGAGACACCCGACGAAATGGACTCGTCCGGAAGTACATTGAAGTTGGAATATTTTGAAAACGTGAAGTTGACGCCGAAACCTGCTTTCACTCTCGTTCTCGCGCTCTTCGGCCCCATTTCTACCAACGCGATTTAAACTTAATGGCTGATTAATTTGCAGAATGACCAACCGCGAAATGTGAAAATTTCTATTGTGTACGATGATTAGATCGTTAACATTTTTCACGTTGGTCATCCTGCTAACTAATTGACCGGCATTAGTCGCGGCGGAAAAATAACTTTTTATCTCCGCGACTTCGTAATCTATATATGTTTCACATATATAGATAAAGTTTGATATATAATAATAAATCGGATTACATGAAACTTGTTGATTATATAGATCACGATGTAAATGCATTCGAATCGATCAAACTTTCGTTTATTACATAATTTTAATGACACGATGTAATATAATTACGCGGTTATTTTGACAAATTACGAGATAATTTTTCCGAGTAAAAAAATTAGGTTATACATACACAATTTTTACCTTCCGCTCGATGAATGTCTCTTCGTCGGGACCCGGGGTCATCCTTGTGCTTGCGAATTTTTAATTCGTACGTTCATTTACTGCGCAATCAACAGATACATGTATACATACATACATATATATATACAACTGCAGCTAAAGTGGTGGGAAAAGTAGCGCGCACTTACCTCGCGCGCTCTCCACGGGGTTAGGAAGGGAAGGAGCTAGCGCGTGATTTCAAAACATAGTCTGTTGACTCCACTCGAATCGATAGTCGCCCCGATGCTCGTCTGAATCCTCGCGAGTCTTGCGGCTATGTTAATATTCCCGGAGTGCATATCGATACCTATTGAACCGGGGGGAGCAGCGAGTGCTCCGGGTACTCTCGTTCGAAAATTGCGAAGCGGGTATATCGGAAGGTTTGAGTGGCCCATCGTCTAGCTAGATAGGTAGTAGTCTAGCGCGCGTGTGCCTCCGCGCGCCGCAATTACTTAATTGCTCGTATCTGATTGGGCCCGGCGCGGAGAGAGGGCAAGCATGTCCTCGGTTCGTGATTTGCGCGCCGCGCGTGCATCGCGCTTCCATTGGCCGGGTTACCTGGGCGGCCGACGAATCAGCCATTCATTTCCGAAACCCCGCGCGGAACGGCGCTAGTAACCCCCGAGAGGAACGAGGACGGACGGACCGAGGAGAGGACGCGAAGGGATGAGACGCGCGCGCGCCAGACAGAGAGAGAGAGAGAGCGACGAGAGTATCGAAGTTTCGAATGCACTCGACATCGATAGCCGCTGCAGCAACATCGTGCGCGTCCTCGCGACAGTACAGTAGTACGCTGCCCGATGCTCTCGCGCGTCGTACTTGTAGGAATGCTTGGAGTGGAGCTCCGAGAGCTAAAAGTGACAGCTGTCAAATAATAGAGAAAAATAAAAAATTACAAAAATAAATAAAACCTAGAATAATAATAATAATAAAAAAAATAAAAAGAAAGCACCGGTAGGTGGTGGTGGTGGGGTGGTAGCGGTGGTGGTGGTGGCAGCAGTGGTGGTGGTGGTAGTGGTGGTGGTGAGACGGCGGAGCACGCTCTCTCGCGGCAGCTGCGCCAAACGTCAGTGTCAATATGGCCGTTGGCGTGAGCGCAGTGTGCGTAAAGACGTGGACGCGATAGTAGTCTCGGTCTTCGATCCCCTAACATGAAGTATACCACGACCAGGAGGGACGCTTTTACGTAATACACCACCCCTCCTCCCTCCCGTTCCGGATATTATCCCGGACGTACTCGGCACGTACAAAATGAACTGCACCGCGCCGGAAGTGGCGGCGGCCGCGAACGATGACGAGCAGGTCGGCGCGAGACAAGGTACGTGGTGCATCATCACTCTCTCGAGTAAACGCGCATCCTCTCTCTCTCTCTCTCTCGCTCTCTCTCTCTCTCTCCTGCGAAGCTCTAACCCCGTCGCGATCGATCCGAGGACTCGCGTATCTTCGTCGTCGTCCTTCGACCATTTATTTGTTCCTCGCGATCTCGAAGAGAGCAACGCGCTAGCCGCGTGGCCTTTTCTCTCCCCCCTTCCGCTTCCCCTCCCCTGGTCGCTCGTGATTAAACTCCGTGATTAAGCTCCTCGGTTCATATGTGTGCAAGTCGATGAATTGTGCGAGTGCCCGACGACGTTAACAACGAAGGAAAAGTGTGGTGCATCGAGCGCGAGAATCTCGGTATATTTTCTCCAAACGACCAAGTCTCCCGCGGAGACTCTCTCGTGCACATTTGGCTCGTGAATGACGCGGCGGGATGCCTACATCGTTATTTCGACCCTTTATGTCGAGAAATAATTACAACAAAGACGTCGCACGAGCGTGATCGGAGAGGATTCCACGAATTCGCTCGACGTCGTTCCGAGACAATCGATACCGCCCTCCGGATTTACTATTGGCGTGTCCGCGTTCCTTGGCGACGATATTGCTTTGTCGGCTTATTCGACTCGCCGGTGATTCGCGTTGAACGCCAACGGATTAACGTAATTTTGATTGAAAAAAAAAAAAAAAAAAAAAGAATCCGAGCGTTCCGAAAGCTTCGATTTGTGGCGACTCTCTGAGAGCGTTTAGATTAAAGGCAACATTTGTCTCGCCCTTCCTCGAAACTGCATCGTGAAACGGCTCGGAAAATGTGGCATTCAGCTGTGTGAACGTTACAGAAATATACAACCGGCTTTTAGGCAATTTATAGTCTGCATGGGTCTCGGCACCTGCCGCGGCAGATGTTAAGAATGGTCAGGGTTGTAAGAAAGCGATGGGTAGTTTTAAAATCGCGCGTAAATTATCGTATAAGAATCCAAGAATTTTGGTATCGGCGAGAGCCGGCGATTTCCTTTTCTTTAATCGGTAAAAAAAATTCCGATACGTTACTATAGATATTTTTCAACAAAATTGTTTGCGTCGATCGAAATCAAATTATTTTATACACGATATTAATTAAGTAATTGAGAATAGTTCTTTCATTGGCGAAAGTATTTTTTCAAATAAAATTGTGTTAAAGAAAAAAAAATTTTTTAAAAATACCGTAATCGAGATAAAACATGGCACAAAATTCGCAATGTTGTCAAAGATATTTTATTAATTGATATTTGATGTCCTTATATATATAATATACATGCACGCACACATTTACATTGTGTAGTTTTTAATAAAAATGTATTGTCGTTTGTGTTATGTATTCGTTTTTGTGTTTTACACGACTAAAAATCGTACATCTTGATTGATGTTTAGATATCAAAAACGCAATGTTTAACAATGGAAGGTTTAAAATAAACAGTGACGACGCCAAATCAACAGTTATAGAATTATTTCCATGGCTCTCAGAATTTAAGAAAATGTGTAAATGTAAATACGCAGACAAAAGTATGGCTTCTTTGGCAGAGCTTATGCAGTACTATATCAGGTAATCTACACTCGATATTTCCTGTAATACTATATGCAACTCACCAGTATTATTGCTTTGAGCACTGGTGTCAGGATATTATTGCATGGACATGTATGTTACACTACATATTCAATCAATGTTATCCTTGATTAAAATTAAGTGTTTGTTTGACAATTTTCTGTAAAATTTCAATTGTTAAGTGGCTTAAAAAATTTTAATTTATTCTTCTTGTGTTTGTCTCTATATGAATATTAATTAAAATATTGTAACAAATGTAAAACATTTCTGTTGTGTTATCGTCTTTTTCAATAAATAATTTTGAAGAAGAAAGAAATTATTTATATTAATGGACAATTACAACACAGTTACAATAATTTATAGTTACAATAGTTACAATTTAAATTTATTGAAATTATTATTAAAAATGATAGAAAAAGAGAAAGTTTTGCAAGAAATATAACTGTCTTTAATAATTTATTGTACATGAAAAACAGAAACCTTAATGATTTTAAATGTTTAATATATTGTCAGATTTAAAAAAATGTGTGCGATAGATATACAAATAAATACTATTTATTATATCTATAATTTAAGATTTAAATTATACCACATTAAAACATAACAGTTGTGATGTAATAAGAACATTTTTAATCTAAAATTTTTGATAGGATTTGAATTTTTGATAATTTCAATTTATATAAATTTATTTGAATTTAAATTTGTATAGATATGTTATTTTTAAATAGTGTTTTCTTTTTATTAATTCTCCTAAAAATTTATTGTATATTACATACACCATACTCTATACTGTATCATTATTAAGCTGATCTCGAGGGTCATTCTGCTATTGCATTGACCCTCTCAATTACTTAATCAGATTGTAACAGTCTGAAGGTCAAAAAGATATTATTTTATATGTTGTAAGGCAATATTAAAATTATGAAGAAAATATTTAATTGTACCAACATAAGTGTTAAAATAAATATAATTTACAAATATACAAGGATTTATAATAGATTATAATAGATTATAATAGATTAGTAACGTTATATCTTATTTCATTAACATATCTCTTTTGAAAAAATAATTAATATACTTTAATAGATTAGCAACATTATCTTTTTATTCCATTTTATTAATATCTTTTATCAATATTCAATATTATAAAAATGTAATCTTTAATATCATATTTGACATTTATTTATGATTTTTATTACTCTTATTTAGAATATTATAAATTATACACATCTTAACATATATTTATTTTATGAATGCTTGAGTTGTACATTTATTGTTCATTCTCTATACAAGTAAATTACAAGTAATACGTATGCATTATTATAAACGTTTTATTGCTTATAGTTCAAATGTATATTTTTATTTTTATTACAGAAATGTAAATATCAGTGTGAAAGAATGTTATACAAAGCCTTTAAAAGCAGCACAGCTGAAGGAATCTATTAGTGAAACCTTATTTTTGTTCTTATATATCTATCGCGAGCTTTCTGAGGTAAGTTCAACAGTTTATTTTAGCATACATTTTAGTATACATTTATATAATTTTTATTTTATTATACACACAGCTTTCTGTGTAATAATATTCAAATAAACAAAATTTCTTTTCAAAATGATAATAGGAAAATATTTTTTATTTAAATAATATATCTGATTTTATTGCTCACACATACACACATGTGTGGATTTTTTAAATATAAAATCATCAGTTTTATTATAATATCCATATAATTTTTATTTTATTGCATATTTAACTTTTTTAAGTAACATTTAACCAAACAAATCTTTTTTCAGGACCGTAATAGATCTATTTACTTAAATAATATGTCCGATTTATTGGCATTGTACATAGATATGGAATTAAAAGCTTCAAAAAAAAGTAAAGAAGATCATAGTAGAATTTGTACAAGACTTATTTCTTGTCTTTATATATATCTAGGTATGTATTTCAAACATTACTTACATACATATAATTTATCAATTTTATTACTAATAATCATAAATTTTCATACTTTTTATCCAGAACATTCTATCGAGCATTTGTTGGATACTTTGTTAAAAATACAACTTATGTCCCAGAATTATCATCGTATTTTAGATCCGATAATAAAGTAAGTATACTATATAGAAACAAAATTAAATTTTTTAGACGATTTTAGCTTATATTTATTTTTTAACTTATTATTTTTAATTAATACACTATATATATAATTCTATCAAAAAATTGTTTATTAATAATTCTAATTTTTCAAAAGTTAAGATTAAGTGTAAAATACATATTTATAAAATTATTTCTGCACTTACAAAATGTATATAGTAAAATAACTTGTACAATTATGTTTTCTTTTTTTATTTGGTTTCAGAAAAGTAACTAATAAAATTCCAGTGCATCCTGAATCAACTATTATGTACAGTCGTTACTTTCTTATTTATTATCTTTGGAAATCGGTAAATAAGGAAAAGAAAAGTCAAATTATTACAACCGCAATTGCCTCTCTGGGAGCACCACCAGCTGCTTTCCCACCGTGCATGTTAGAAGATGTATTACCAAAAGTGCCAAAGTGTCAACCAAATCCAGCAAAATACCTAATGAACCAGAAATTGGAGATAAGAAAATGCTGCGAATTATTTACACAATTCTGTAGAGAAACCAGAGAAGATACATGGCAGAAAAAAAGTGAAAATGCAACTACTGTTTCAAATTTACTCAAGAAGACTACTTCGAAACTGGTAAGTACATATTTTGCTGTCACTTTTATATTCTTATAAATATTGTTTTTTTTTTTATATCATTGTCACACAAACTATATAATTTATATTGTAAAATTATTTCATTAAAATATTATAGAATTTTATATAAGTAGAAAATAATAGATAAAAATCATTTTTATGCAATTGTCAGGAAATCTCTATTTTCTTTATAATTATAATGAAAATTTTTGCATAATATATATAATTAGTAATAACTATGACAAATAAATTGTAAAAAAAGTGTAAGATGTAGACAAATCTTTACATTAACAGTTTAATTTTCATTGATATATATATAAAAATAATGTAATAGGCTAAGATGAGTTTCATAGGAAAATAATAAAGCTTGTATTTTTAGCTGGAAGTTGTTGCATCACACGAAAATATGGATTGTATAAAAAATAAGTCTAATCTAACTTTCTCAGATAAAAATGCGCAAAATAATTCTGTTTCATTAGAGAATTTAAAATCTTCAAATTTAACAGAACAAACAAATGTTAAACCTTTAGGCACAATTTCTACAAATATTTCTGTAGCACGGACTATTTTTAAGCAGAGAAAACCAAAAGTGCTTCCACGAAAGAAGGCTAAAAAATCCAATAAAATTATAACAATAATTGATCTTACAACTGATACTGATACTACTACTTTCGAACGATATAAAGAAGAACGTATAAAGAAGAGGGACTCGAGGAAACTTGACTGGCTTGAAGAAGCTAAGAGAAAACTCGACGCAAAAGCGATAAGGGCATCACAGAAGAAACAACAGATGGCAGAGAATGTTACCTCCTTGAAGAAAACGATTCTTGATCGACAATTGGAAGATTTTCTTCGATCCATACATGCCACAGAAAATACATGTTTAAAGAATAATTTGAATGCATCTGCAGCATGCGACATAAAGTTAGAAGATAATAAAACTAAATCCATGCAACATTTTGAAACAGAAGGTAAAAGTACATTAATTAACAGTAACATGTTATCTACAAAACAATCAGTGGATATGAACAGCAGTGACAAAGATAAAATTGTTGAGATACCTCGAACAATCTCTTCTGTAATAGTTGATAGTCCACAGTCTAATAAATCTAAAGCTTCTACAAAATTGTTATTGGATGCTACAAACGACACTAACAACATTAGCAAATGCCATGATGTTAATACTTCCTCGGAGGCAAAAAATGATGAAAAAATAAACAATAGACATAATGCACAGACTGTGATTAAACGACTGCTAGAAGAAGATATTCCGCCTGAAAGTGAAACATGTAAACAAGTTAAAAGTTTAAGGAAAATCTGTGATTTAGGAACAGAACACTCTAAAACTGTAAATATTCCTTCCGCGATATGTACTCAAGATTCCAAAGATGAAGATGTTGGTTCTAATCATAATACTAATTATTTTAGTACAACTAAAGATAAATCCTTGTATGCAATTTCGTCTTTAGAACATACACGTTATACAAATAATGAAAAGAATGAAACAATTGACAAAACAGTAGAGGATATGACTAACAATGAAAAATCTGTGCAAGAACATGTTCATAAATTAATGATTAATGATAAAACGCAATGTTTGAAATCAACTGCACTCAATAATGAGTTAAATAACGATAACTTCAGAATTACGAAAACAGAATTTGCAACAGTAATTGGAATTTTTGGTACAACAATGATAAGTAATACAGATGTATCAATAAGTGATGCAATAGAATCTGAACGATTAGAACAACTACGCATCACTGGAAATATAAAACAACCAAAGGAGCCTGAATCTCAGGATGAATATGTATCAGCAAGACACGATATTGCAAATAATACTATAAGTCTTAGTATAACAGATGGAGACCATTCTAATGTACAAACAGATTTAGAAGTTGGTACTTGCATCAAAGTAAGCGACAACATAAGAAATAGCAAAGTCTCTAATCACAAAATCAGAGAAACTATTTTTGAAAATTGCACAGCTGATAAGAAAAATATTTCTAATATCTTCGATACGTCACTGTGTTCAAAAGAAGATGAAGTCAATGATGAAAAGAAGATCGACCTGAAAATCGGTCATAAAAATGGTGCAGAACTCGAATCCAAAAATTACGATAATGTAGAGGAATTTAAAAAATCTTCTGTACTGCATACAAAAATTGATGAGAAAGATATTCATAATTTTGACCAAACACATGATAAATTATTGAAGAAACTCTATAAGATATCTCACACGAATAGTATTCAAGATTCTTCGGAAGATAAATGCGTCATTCAAGATTCAGAATTACAGGATAATATAGACGGTCTTTCGTTATTAGCCAATGTTATCGCAAGTCAACATGTATCTCATTTAAAAACTGAGCGTGAATTACAATGCGAACAAATCAAAGTCAAGGATTACGCATCGTTAAGAAATTCTTATAATCAAACTACTGAAGATGAAGTCAACACCAACAACTCGCCGAATACAGCTTCTCAGATTGTAGAAAATCCAACTGCTGACGTTATCAATAGAATAGTTGGAATTTATCCAGAGGATAACGCGTTGGATAAAGTAGCGCTTCACGTTGAAGTGACATCGACAACTGATACGCATCCCAATGATCGCGAAAACGATTCCAGCAATAGCGTTCCGCATATCGTTGAAACCACAATAAATTATAATGAAACGGATACGTTGTCTAACAACTTAAACATGGTAGAGAACAATGTGCAGTCGATAAAGGAAAATACGAACGTCATATTAAATGGGGAAACAGTCGTGCTTTTACAAAAGTCTCCCAATAGCAATTTGTACATCATCAATAAAGCAGTGGAAAATGCACGAGATCACAACAGCGATGATGAGAATTGTGCATCGTTCGAAGTCGTTAATATGTCGGAGCATATTTCTTTTAATTTGGATTTGCCGCAATACGGCAAAGAATTATCATGTCAAGAAAATAAATTTTCTGTCGGCAGGAACAAGGGTATAAAAATCGAACCCGAGGAGGAAAGCAGCTTAATGAGTATCACAGAGATGAAGTCTTACGGTAAAAAAGGTCCATTGTCGGCCGACGTGACGTTACCCGCGACATCACAGATTTATCAAGACACGAATATTGCGAATGTGAGCATCAGTAAGTCGATTGATAAACGAAAATCCAAATCCATCCTTACTTACAGGCAGAACATTAAGCAAGAGTTTAGTAATCATATTCCGCCAACTTGCGGAATACAAGGATGCAACGGGATACACACGCATCCGCACGAAGTGATCGATCCGCAGCATTCGTTACATATTCCAGTCACTCATCCCACGACGATACCCTCGATTTATGGGAATTGCGCTGCCGGTACAGAACTGTGTATGCCGTATCACAAGCATTGCACTTCCGTGTCGTGTAGTCTACAAATTAATTCCACTACTTCGCTCCATTCCCACACAAAATCCGCCAATTCATGTGGTAGATCGCATTGCTCATGCAATTGTACGTACGATATAGTCACACATTGCAGACAGTGTATACACCCTGCCACAGATTCCCATGTGTCTTGCATTGAAAGTAATTCTTATTTTTTGCCCGCGCATTCGTCAGTACAAACATCCGCCGTCCAAGAGCACGATAGGACAAAAAGCGAAGCGGTAATAAGTAAATTATACGACGATCAAATACTGCGTAAAATAGAGTTGGAGAAACTGGACGTGCAAAGAGAACCGGATAAGTTATTTAAGAACGATATGGAGAACAAGTTGCCGCTGAAGAAGAGATTGAAGGCTCAGGCCATGATGTCCATGGTGTATGAGAAGGTACCCATCAAAGCGGAAAAATTGGATAACTATCCTGGAATTCCCATGATGTCCATAGCAGCCTTAGAACTAGATAGTACACAGAAGCATCCCACACAAATAATTAAATCATCCTACGAATTATCCCCCAATGAAGAGGAGGATAATCCACATGGCAGCTATCATTTCAATTCGAATATAGTGCGAAGGGATTACTGCAAAGATATCCATATTTCTAATGCACATCACAATCTTACGAAAGAAAGTACAAGAAGTCACGAGCGCCAGTTTCGACCAAACGGTGATCCGGCTAACGCAGTGTGCCTAGAGCGTTGCCAAGATAGAACGTTTAAAGCACCTGCACAGCATAGAGACATAACAGCAACGAATCCGACATCTCTCAAACGTATAACGACCGAGGCAATGGAGGAGCAGGATAACACGTATAAGAAGGCGAAAAAAATGCAGTCATCTAATATACAAACGAGAAGCTCAAAGAGAAACGTTCCTAAGGTAAATTATTGTTACACCGATGATCCAGAATGGAATCCGTCCGGTGAGTCAAAACGAAGGCGCAAGAAAACTAGTCGATGATCAATACTATTTCATTATGAAAAGTCACTGCTGTAAAAAGAAAACCTGTACAGAGTGGATAAATGTGTTCTTCAAGCTGTGTGGCAATGTAAATTTTTGTAAATATATGTACAAAGCAGAAGTGGAAAAAATAACTCGTCCTAGGAAGACTTTTAGAGATAGACCGTTCAGCGTGTTCAAGATTAGTATCAATGAAGGGATGATAGACTAGTTACATAAAAGATTCTTGCATAAAATATTTTTGATGTTTAGTTAGATATCGCTAGAAGCAAGTTGTAGAGAATTTTATTCCGTTCAACGTCATCTCTACCTTGCAATACACTATAAAGTTTTGTAAGATAATATTTCTATTTTAGTTAACATTTATAATTAATATTTTAATTCTAATGTTTTCCTATTGTCATGTGGTTGCGCAGCAACATCTGCCGTAAAAAAAAACTATAATTTTTTTAATCATAAAATTTTTAAATTTCTATAAAATAAAATTAAAGTTTCTGTATATTTTCCATATAAATATGTATATATATAAAATCAATGCCAAACATACAGAAATTCAACAAACAAAATGATATTTAAAACAAAGTAATATGAAATAATATCATTTTTGAGGTAAGATATTAGAAAGGAAAACGACAAATCTTTTACATCAATATTAATAATAATTTTATACAATAATAATTTTTTATAATTTAATGAATTATTTACTGATACATAAAGCATGTTATTAAAAAAATTATATAAATTATATCAATTAAATTTTATATATATATATATAAATGTTTGCATATAATTATTAATTTTAATAATTAATCAGTCAGTATTTTTTTCTTTTTTTTTTTTTTACAGTTACAATAGAGAAGTACTGTACTAATAGTTTTGTTTTATATGTATACACACAATGGATATTTGATAATATGTACGATTTATAATATTAATTGTGTAAATTTTTTTCAGGTTTCTGCAGAAAACAAATTTAGATTCAGGAATGTAATATGACCAGATTGATAATTGAAAATTATGAGTATGAAATTTGAAAATCCAACTTTCCTGAAAACATACAGAACAGGCGATGTACCAGGAATATTTGCGTAGGTAATTCTGTAGTAATTATGCATAGATTTTTTTAGATACATCATAAATCTGATAATAAGATTGAGATTTCATAGTTAGGGTGCTATTTAATTATGTGACGATAGTTTTTCAATTTGTATTTATTTCAAATATTAAAGGTATATATATATACACCTTTACACAGATTTACACATTTTTATAGTATACATCTCTTATTTTGTATTTCAGATTAATTACCCGCTTAGACTCTTGAGTAACTTCAGGCAAGTGTTTAATGCAAGCACATAATGTCAATAAATTCGCCGAATAGTGCAAAATTATTTGTATTGCCGTACAATTACAAAAATTTGAAATGTTTAATTTTGTTTCTACTTTGCAATTTGTCCTCTTATATGTATATTGTATACATATAGATACGATCTTATATATATCGAAAAAAGCTATTATTTAATATAAATTTATACGTACAGGTACCTATCAAAAGAAGTAGAATAATTAGTCAGCCGCGATTCATATATGACAACTTCAGATCTCGTAGAAAAAAAAGATAATATGCTACATATATAATTGAAAGTAATTCATATATTTTTCTTGTATGAATGTCCATCTTTCGTTCGTAAAATACGAGTTACGTGCGGTATTCTAAAAAAAGAACAAAATAAAATGACCTAATCGAGCTTAAATAAAAAATAAAACTGAGACATGCAAGAAAAATGCACAATTTAGATATTGTATAGTTACCAAGATAGAAAAGCTTTACAACTAGCAAGCATTGTGTAGCTTGTTCCTATGTAATTACTCAATATTTCAGTTTATACATATATCTGGAATCTTGCTTTAAAAACTGATTAACATTAATAATTATTATATAGAGCATTTAATTAAATTAAAATTTAACTCTTGTACTATTTGAAAAATTTCTGAAAACGATAATTTTAAATGCTGTATTGTAAACAGTTCTACACTTAAAGCTGCTCATATTCATTGAATTGTATTTTAATATTTTATGTTAATAATTTCAGAATCTATTCATATATTAAACTTTTTATAATATATATTCGATTTGAACAAATTAAGTCATATTGCAAGAGTCCCTGTGTTAAACCTGAACCAGTCAGCATCACTATATTATATTCTAATACGAAAGTTCTAACTACATTTTTTAATTTGGACATTTCTTGTTTTGGGATATAGATTTGGTTCAAGTAAATGCATAACTTTAGTGCCATATCCCTATACCTGATCTCATATCTGTGATCTTTAGCTAAACAGTAGCTAACATTTTGTTGTACAAAAAGAAATGTACCTTGTTAAGTAATCTATTTGATTACTTGTCACTGTCACACTTGTCATTATTGTACATTTATTCATCTTCGTAAAAATGATTGTAGTTAGAGAATTTTTTAATCGTAGAATGCTCTTACGTTTATACTACAATGCTGTTCCCTTATTTTCAACTTTAAATTGCTAAATCTTATACTTGACTGACAAATGCGCATCTATTTCATTACCGAATATCTTTTATTGTTATTATTTATTTAATTATTAATTTACAATGCGATAAGTCTGATAGGCTTAAGTTTAACACAAATAAAACTATAAGTTACATATTATATATATATATATATATATATATATATATATATATATATAGTTCATCAAAATTGCCAAAAGTCTTCATACATATGGATTGAGAATATAAATAGATCATTAATTATAAATAAATTATTGTACGCGCATAAAGCATTTATTAAAAAAAGGAGAAAGTCTGACATTTTAAACATTAATCGAGTTAGTATAGTAAAGTACTTTATATCGGATGCCTCATTAATTCGTGTTCATCAAAAATTCAGTATTGTGTATGCGTAGAACATCTCTTTCATAAGTGATAAATAAACTTGTATTTACCTATATTTGTACATTATGTGCATTATATAAAATGTCGACCGCAAAAAGTTGAGGTAAATATACTCCACACATATGAAAATACTAATATATATTTACCTCTATTATATTATTACTCACTGAAACTACTAGATTCACTATCTAGAAACTACTAGATTCATTACTTATGAAATAAGAATAGAAATGTTAGAAACTCTCAACAGGGTAAATGTGTTAATATGCTTTTGAGATGCTTGTAGCATCAAAGTTATAATATTTTACATAAGTATGTATACTTATTCACTATAAAATTAGAATATACTGTACAGGGTAAAAGCGAAAAATACTCGGCATGCTTATAATGCTCATTAAGTTTACATAATTGCAGATACCTTCCTTAATTGTATATTCATTTTTTTTACAGATAAATATCTACTATTACAACGTTCTTTTCTTTTCAATTTTAGAGTGTACGGCTTTTATTACACCATTATACTTAATAATACTACTGTCCAAGATCTGTAAATATATTTTTAAGTATATATTAGTCACGCCGTGTTATATATATTGCAATATTATTTTTCCATGCAAACAAAAAAAATAAGAAAATTACAGTACCGATTTCCATATACAAACGCGCGTGGGTGGTGTGTGTGTATTGTATGTATGTGCGTGTGTTATGCTATATAACAAGTATCTATGGACTAAATATATATATAATGAAAGAAAATGTATTGAATGCTTTAAAAATAGTAGTAATTTAATGATCTTGCATACAAATACAAATTCTGCATTTTAATGAAAATATAATATTTTTTTCCTTTTCTATAGATTTTCGAATTGTACAAATTATTGCGCGTAATAAATGAATAACTCGAATATATTAAAAATTGAACTTTTATTTTCTTTTTCAGTCTCTGCATTGTTGTACATCATGGATTAACTTATTACAACACAAGTTTTTTACATACAGAACGCAATCATTACCAAATGTTTATAATTTTCGCAGGTCTACAACTATTTTGTGGAACTTACATGAAGATTTATGAATAAATTAATATCTTCATGTAGAAGATATTAATATTACGCACATCAAAAATTGAATTTAGTAAAATTAGGAGATACAACTATGTGGCTCACACAGAGTATTCGCTAATATCTTTATTAATTAAACTGCATATTTGAATATTTTACAGTATGAATGATAAACAAAGAAATCTGTGTTAAAAACGCATCATATGAAAGCATCATTTAAATGTATTCTGTTTTTCTTACATTGATACTTGAACAAGAAATATAATAATTTGCATACATAATTTTTGATATATAATATTCCACATTTATATTCTTTTATATTTAAATTCCTACACAGTATCTTCAAATTGGTGATATAAGCAAAAGGAGGATAATTTCTCATTAAAAAAAAAAAAAATAGAATAAGTAGGATAAATTATTTTTTGTACGATAACTTTTCTTGAAAATGAAACGTACGAAAAAAATGTATTCTTTATTTTCTATTTATTATTTTATATTACACTCTTTTTGATTATACCATTAGTTCAGACACTCTGTAACCAAATTTATAACTTTTTTTATTAACAAATTTGTTTAAAGCTTCTTACATATAGTATTTATATAAAAATTTTGTATATATAATAATGACTAACAGAAGATACAATTGTGTTCTCTTTTAGGCCTAAAGCTGTAAACAAATAACATCTTACTATAGAGTTTACAGAGAAAAATTATAGCATTATGTCTTAACACATGTATATTTGGTAAAAACAAATACAATGCAATAAAAAAGTTTTAAAACGTCCATTCCCAAAAAATAAACTGTTTCCTATAATGAAGCAATGTTATTGCTTATATCAGAATTGGTGTTTATTATTTGCATGTAATCATTATTTGATATTGTATTACTATATTAAATCAAAATCTATTCAAATGCAGCTTTTGAAATATATGCTCATCAGGACATATTCATACACACAGAATTAATAAAATTATTTTGATAAATCTTATTAGAGAAATGCATATTTCATTTATTTATCTATATATCTACTGGCTATAATTTTACACTAAGTAATCTTTCGAATAAAATTCTATAATTTTTTTTAGAATATATGATATTCTTTTGAGAATATATAGGTGAAGACTTTTACAATAAAAATATCATTCAAGTTATACAGACTGACCATAAATTTCGCTTTAGACATGCTCTAATTATGTATTATATATTCTATTATGTGGAGCATGTGAATATATATATATATATATATGGTCATTCTGTATATGATATTATAGTATGTAACTTGGAGATACAAATTTTCTTCTCTGCAACTTATATTTATGCAGTTTAAAAATAGCTACTGTTTTTATTATTTCGCTATAATTATTAAATATCTTAAAACAAAATATTTGTACTAAAATACATCTTAATCATTCAAGAAATTTAGTGTAAAAGATAAACTATCCTACAGCTCTAATATGGCAAGCACTAATCGGTGATTTTATTTTGTGTAAAATTTACAAAAAGAAATATATAAGAAAATAAAAAAGAATGTATGACTCTTTGTAGAGTAATTACACAAAGCATCTTGCGTTATAATGTCAGAAGAGTGAGAAAATATATGCAGATTTTTAAATTGTGCGATCCTACTTGTTACTAATTGTAAGAATAGAGTTCATAAATTCTCCATTATTTTATAATTTTTTTATGAATTTGTTGAAGACAAGTCATTTATGTGCAAATCTAATCATTTATATTTTTGCGACATCATAATATATAATAAATGACATTTTTTTGTCAAACTAAAATATTTGATACTAGCAGAATAGCAATATATATGTCTATCGAGAGGATTGTTATTTATTAATAAAAAATATGATTAAAAAAATATAAAATCAGTCTATATTAGATATCAATAAAGAAATATAATATACATATAAAGTTGTTTTAATTATATTTTGAATAATTTAACTAAAATAACAAAATAAAACAATATAAAATATATATCAATAAAATTTATAACAAGACATCGTACATTACATGATTTAATTAAGATTTTGTCGAAAAAAAATACAATAAAAATAAATATTTTTGGCATGTAGCAATAAACGTGCATAACGATAATAGGAACAGAATATTTCATTTTCTTTTACTGTTATATATTATCTCACTAATGATTAAATAAGCTATCTGGGAAAAATGTATGACGGATACACATAATGTGAAATTATTTATACAGTTCACTATGTAAAACATTAATTTGAGTTATTCAATACTGTAATATATATTCACAGAAAATATTCAGTATCAATTAAAATATAGTTATATTAATCATTTGTTGTCTTATCTAAACTCTAAAGTAAAATATTTTGCATATTTGTTTTTAAATATAATTTGTATAGTTAAACTTTTCATTGCAGTTATTTCTATAAAATTTATTTTCGTAATAAAACAGTACTCGAGAAATATAATTATTACTAAACGAGATCGCTAAAGTATTTAGTTATTTATCACATAATACAGACAAAGTACATTATTTTTACATAATGTGCTTTGTTTATATTATTTTATAATATATTTATTTAATATGTAAACGCAACTAAAATAATATACACGCGTATACATATACAAAAAATATAGCTATAAAAGAGCTATTAAAATATTCTTTTAACATATTACGTGATAAAATTATTTAAAATCATAATAAAGTATAATTTTAAGAAGCACTGTTTTTACCTCTGTGCAAATTTCTAATTTACAGAGATTATGTTTATGAGAGAATTATGGTGATGTTGTGTATACTTAATTGTGTATTAATAACTTGAAAACTGTTAAGATTGTAATAATTTTCAGTGTGCTAAAATTTTATTTCAATCGTCAAGTTATGAGATAACTTTGCATTATGTAAGTAGTTCAAAATTGCCGACTTCTTCAGGATAAACGATCACGCTGTAATAAATGCAAATAGTAAATATGATTTCTTTATTACTTTTAGGCCTTTGCGGTTCACAATTCTTATATAGAATTATTTACATCTCAACTGTCCTAATTTAATACAAAATCCAAAAAAATGTCTGGATAATGTATCATATCTATTACTTATAAGCATATCTAAAAATGTTTTAAACATAAAAATAAGATTATTTTTAAAAATATATATTTTTTTTTATAAAGATAATGAATTTGAATTAAAAAAAAATATATACATATATACTTATATATTTGAAAGCTTAGACCGCAAAAGACTATAACGCATAAGATTTCTCATATCAAAACTCGCTATCTTTAAAAAATAATTTAGTACCTAGATGGAGAGTAGTATTAATTGTAAGTACCAATAGAAGAGATCTATGAAAATATAATTATAACATTTATTATATATTCCAAAATTAACTTTTTGCAATGAATAACTGTCTCTTTTGTAGATTCTTTTTAATATTTCAATATTTAGATAAAAAATATTCCCGTAAAACATTCTTCTATAAGGAGATAGCAGAGTTTTAAGATGAGAGGTTTTACATAATACATAATTACATATCTAATATATGTTACACTCACCCACACTGCATTATTTTTCTTGTTCTTCTACATACAAACTCTGTAAATATAACAAAAAATTAATAATAAATATTATAATTATCAAAGTAAAATATGATTATAAAAAAATATTTAATATCTATATAAGAATTTCAGTGAGAATAACATATGAAAATGTCTGATTGTTGCATCTTCGTATACACATACAAACATCTCATGTTCAATATTGGCACATTAAAAATTCTTATTTCTTTATACATAAATAAAATTTAATTTAATTCAACATTCAGCTAAGTTAAAATAAATTCGATATTTTTATATATTATTCTCTTGTACTACATATCTGATTATATATATATATATATATGTTATAGTTTTATATTCAATTTTCGATATGTATCATTATTGTATTATTTAATATGAAATTATTTGTGTAATTCAAAAGAGATATTAAATATAAATATTGATATTTGAGAAAATTCTTCCTAGTTATGCAGAGTTAAGTTTCCACATATAGTTGATAAGACTTTTTAAAGATAATCTTCAGAGATGTTCTTGATATTCTTCTGCGATGTTACAGATTTTGTTAATATGTATAAATAATTTATAATAATGAAATATATATCAAAGACTTATAAATTAAATTACCTTTCATTATAGAAGAGAAATTCTCTTTCGAAAGAGAATATCATATTGATTTATAATAATAGACAACCTTGCTAGCACATAAGAGGTGAAATCGTAGATGCGATTCTCTTTCTCTTTTCAGGTGTTTCTTCAGTAGACAATTTAATACATCTGAATATACTCCTTAATGATATTTACTGGTATATGGTTTCTCAGTTATATTCTTCGTGATTTGATCTTTATTAAATTGCTATTAAGATTGTATTCGAAGTAAATTCATCTTTTATATGCATGGTGTTCTAATGAATATTCTCTGTTCAACATTAAATGATTTATTGGCAGCTCTCAATGAATATATCTTCAGAAGTAGAAAATTTTTTAGAAAATTGATTTTCCAGCTCATCACTCGAGACTCAAAATTTTGCAAGGCAAACTTTTTAATAAACATCAGAACATTTTGTTAAAACTGTTTTTTATAATTCTTTTCTTCAATTGATGGAGTGGATGCGTGCTTTTTCAATAGATAACTATTACATCTGACAGCTCATTCCACAGTCTTCACAGTCTTCATAGTAGATATAATCCATGAATTTTGAATTAATCATCTTATTAACCGAAAGGCCATCAGGACATCCAAGAATAACAATATATATTTTATGTATAATGTTGAGGCAGAATCTTTTCTTTGTAATATTAAATCATTTTTTAACCTGATTTGATGATATATTCTTGAAGGTGTAAAATTCATTTAAAGATTTTTAGTTTAACATATTCCTCGAGATATAAAATCTTCAATTTTTTCTTTTTTAAAAATATAATGCTTGATTAAAGCACATTATTATTTAACTTATCAGAAAAAAATATTGAAATTCCATAGCTCCTTAAAAACTGGAAGCGCGATATCTAAATTAGTTAAATATGTTGCAAAACATTGGATTGAAACTTATTGTGATTTACTGACATATTAAACTTATCAAATTTGGCTGATAATCATTGAAAATTGTTATCGGTATTCAAATGGAAGGTCGGATTTACATTACTGTTAATAACATTGTTTTGATTATGGCATAAAATATCCTTTTCACTTAAAAATGTATTTGTATATATATTATCCAATTCAAATGGAGACTGCTTCGAAGATAGGAGAAATTCGGTGGTTTCATTTGACACAACATTGTTTAGAGTTTCCAAAATTTTAATTTGATGCGAGAAACTGATAGAGTCGTCCATATCTATAGAAGTTTTGAATTCCAGTTTTGAATCCATATCTATAGAATCTATATTAAATATATCATGTTCAAAGAGATATCGATTTGATGTTTCATTCGAAATATCACAATCGTTTCTTTCTTGTTGTGCCTTTATCGTATTTTCGGAATGTTTGGAGTCATGTACAATTTGATCTTCCATGAATGTAGTTGAAGCAGTATACATGTCAGAATAATTTCTTTTTTCAGCGCTCTTAGCCATAATACATTCATCAACAGCATGATTTGCAGCAACATAAACATATTTATCACAATCATTTAACATTTTTGCATAATTAATATCTTTTTCAGTATTTGAAAAATCTTTCAGATTATAATCTATTTCTGCATTTGAACCAATTTTGAAAGGATTATTACTCATATAGAAATCTGAGAAATGTACTTGATCGTTTAATATCGAAGGATCGCAATCGCTTTTTTGTTGTTCCTTCATTGTAGCTTCAGAATATTTAGCAATGTCATTATCATTCATTTTTACATTATCAAAATTGACATGTTGATTATATAATGACGATTCTACCTTTTGATCCTCAGTAAATGTTGTAGTCGAAACAGTATTGTCATTGGATTTATCTGGATGCTGCATTTTTTTCTCACCGTGCATGTCACGACACGTCATAACGCTGATATCATTGATACGATATCGACGTACAACGAAAATATGTTCGTTATTATACAAAGGATTGCATATCATGCAAATTATATGTTTCCCAATATGGACAACTGGCATCGGTTCACAATACTTGCATGACTTTTGCGTTGCATTACAATTTGTATTTATTAGTGTTTCATTCTTGAAAGAATGCTGATCCATAATATCATTTTGGCACATCTTCAATGAAGGTATTGTGTCCATAACACTTTCTTCCTGAGAAGTTAACGTCTTCTTACTTTGCGTTATTGTATTATTATATGAACCTATTGCATTTCCTGTCATATATGTCATATGTGACAAATCATGATGATTTTCTAGTTTACTCTCTTTTACAAATTCTGGACAAGTATTATTTATTTGATTCTTCATTACATTTAAATGTTCATTTTTTTGACGAATAATATGATAAACATTATTTAATGAAGATTTATTGTTAATTGAAGTGTAACTCTCTGTACCTTCACTAATTTTGTTGTCAAGAATAGGTTTATGCTCCAAACAAGCTTTCTCAACTAAACTTTTGCTGTCTCTATTAGAACTTTTTTCAGTATTAACACTTGTCATGATCTCATTTGAAAGTTTCAAATGATTAAGGAAGTCTTGCTTTTTATTTTTTCCGATCTTCAAACAATCTCGACCATTCAAAATATATTTCTTCTTTCTTTTCCTTCTGTTTATTTTATAAGAACCACTTTCATCATCTCCAGTTAAATCGATAATTTCAAATTTCTTTGGTTTTTTTATTGATTTCTCGGTTATTTTTTCTAATGATTTAAAGCTTCTTCTTTCACCTTTTTGTAAATAAGTTTTTTCTAAAGGTTTATTTCTGTTATTACCTAGTTGCAAATTATTTTGAAAACCATTTAAACCATCTCTATTTACTTCTTGATTAGATGTAGGAGTGCTCCTGTTTTTGTTTTGTTGAAATAAATTCATCTGTGTCTGAAAAAATATAATTCCATATATGTATATTACATTATTCCATACATCAAGATTTGCATTTTTATAGTACCAATCAACAAATGCAAATATTTTAAAACAAAATAAAGAAATTTTAATTAAATTGAGCTACATTACCTGAGACTCTAAACCATACTGATCAATTTTGATACATTGTAAATATGCAGAGTTATCAATTTCTTCAAGTTGTAGAGAATGTTTATTCATTTGATCTTCAAATAGTAGAAAATGCTCATGCATTTGTTTTAAATCGATATCTGATTTTAATAACCATAGTGTTTCAGTCTCATGATTTGTAGAGTCCGTAGGACTAGGCACGAATTTTATTAATTCATCTCGTAATTTTGGCATACATGGTCCTAGCAGCTTTATAGCTAATTCGTCAATTTTTTCATTTTTATCAGAAATTTTTTTCCACATTTTAAAGACAAGCAAGTATCTGATATAAGTTACATCGTTTAAAGACATCTTATCTTGACGTTTTATCTTCAGATTAGTGAAGCTCTTCCTGTGTAGTAAATATTATTACAAAAAATATTAACAAGTATTAATATCTTATAAAATAATATCTTGTATTAATAGGCAGATTTGTTAATAATGTAATATGTTAAATAAAAGATTTACATACGTAAATATGTCATTACAAATTTTCATATATCTTTCTGTCATATGTTTAATTCTAACTAATACCCTGAAAATATGCTCTTCCGAGTTATCTGTAAGCAATTTAATATTAGTTGCAAGATGGGTGTGTTCATTTCTTCTCAGTACTACTGTCAGCATTAGAAATCTATAATTTATGTTACATATTCCGTTTGTATGAAATTAGCTTTTTGTTAATACTCACTTAAGTATATATATAGCGCTGCAATAATTTTTACATCAATTTCTTTGCTTGAAAGTTTTAATTCCATATCTATATATATGCTTAATAAAGCTGACATTATATTTAAATATGAACTATGATCAGGTATCTCCTAAACATAAAGATTTAACAATTACATCATATAAATTCTTCTATCAATTAAACCAAAATAACAAAGAATAATTAAAAAAGATATAGTACCTGCTTTATGTCAAGCCAATATAAGTGAAAGAATATTAATATATCATTAATGTTTTTTAAATTAATTGGATCAAACTCAACATTGCTTTCCACGCTAGAAAGAATATTCCTGAAATATATGCAATCCTAATTATTATCTTTTATATTTTGCTAAATTCAACTGCTCTGACTTGTATACATAAATATTTTTAGTTGTAAAACAAAAAAAGGAATGAAAGATGATAATTAGATATTATATTAGATCTAGCTAACTAATGTAAATGATGATCTCACTGGGTATACAGCAAAAGCAACTGTTTGAGATGTCGATAACTCCTACTTCCTCTGGATGAATATACAATTTTCAAAAAAGCTTCTTCAATCAGATTATTATCATTTCCTGTGATATTTTCCAGTTGTTGAATTTTTGAACATTTTCTTGCATTTTTATTTTTTTCACGTACAGAATTTATATCCATATCTTCCTCTGTAGTTTCCTTATGGCACAAGTTCTATAATTACAACTTGTTAGTATTCCAATAAATTATCTTAATAAGTATTGAAAAGATATATTATTCAATGAAATCCTTGTTTCGTAATAGTTGTACAAAATAAGCAAACTCTATGTCTACTGCTTGTATCAAAATTACATGTTATTACAAAGAATTTTAGAAGTTAACTTATTTTGTTATAAAAAATCTGTAACATATATAGCATAAAAAAATTTGAGAATTTGTCAATATTCAATGCTTTAAAAATTTGTATTTTATTTTGAATGTTAGATCTAATGAAAAAATATAGAAATCAAGTTTATGCAAAAATTTAAATTATATAATTGTTGATACTATTATAAATATGTATAAAAAAATATAATTAACATATATAATTTACTACATATATATATATAATATATATCAATCAAAAATCATTTACAATATAAATATTTCTTTAAGTGTCATTTTGTTGTGTATGTGTATATATATATATATGACTACAATACTTTTCACATATATATCTACATTTAAAAAATATATATACATATATAATATAAAGTAAAAATAAAATAAATAATATAAAATAAAAAATATAGACATAAATATTTCAAATTGCAAAATAACAGCTATAAATCATTTATTATCTGTCAAAAAATTCATGACAACAATTGAATAATAATTGAATAATACAATAATAATTGAAAAAGCTAAATTATTAAAAGCAAAGTAAAAAATAAAAAGAAAAATTATATTTAAGAAATATTATTATAAAATTATATTTAACAAGGTGGTTGAAATCTAAACAACTACTCGCAGTAGAAATCATATCAGGCATGTATATTAAAATCATTTTGACACACGATATCTTCGTATAAGAGACGTACTAAGGATTCTCGTATTTTTCTTCGCGACAAGAGATAAGAGACAGATCTTAAACTAAAATCCGCGGGGAAGAAAGAATGTTCGTCTTACAGTGCTTATCGCGAATTTGACATAACGACGATCTATCGTGCCTCCCTCGAAGTTGTGTGGTGTGGAGATCCCTCTTCTCACACACGATCGAGTCTTCTCTTCCTGCAGCCGGTGTTTCTTCCGAGTTGCTTCCATCAAGATTACTGCGAGCACCAGGTCCGGCCTCTGTTCTTCGTGTAATCGCGCTAAATCGACTTCCTGGAGAATCACGGCATCTTTGGAATCGTGATTATTCAAAGCGGCAAGCAAGACGCGTTCTTCCGTATATACGAACTCGCCTAGAGACTCCACACGCCACTCTCGGTCTCGTGTCACGTTGCGCCGTCTGTCGGCCGAAGTAGGCCGAAGCTCGCGCAACGCACTTTTTTTCGCACATACGCGATCTCTTTCCGCGGCGACGATTGCGCAAGCGCAAACGATGAAACACACGGCTGATCGCGTCGCTGTCTGCCGCGACGCCGCCGTGACGTCAGATCGAACTAATCTGCGCCGACGTCCATCGCGGTCAGGTACGTGTCGATTTCCGCAAGGATCACGTCCTAAAATTAGAATATTATTGAATTTTATTTAGAATTTAAAATTTTTATATTTTTTGAGTTTAATATGATTTGTAAATTATGTCATTGAATTAAAAATCTATATATACTTAAAAATGAGAATTTTTTTTATAAATTACAATGTCAATTCTAATAGCTAAAATTAATATAATGGATGTTAATAATTTTACTCTAATGCTTAATAAATAAAATAAATTATAAATTAATAAATTGTATTAATAAATTAATAAGTTATTAATAAAATTGATTAATTTATGAATAAAATGTATTGATTTGTGAATAAAAATTAATAAATCTTATTAATAAAAATAAAGAAAATAAATGAAAACTAAATCGGTTCATCAGCGAAAAGCAAGTTTCTAATACTTTGGGGTCCCCGAACGATATTTCGTTCGCACGTCCCTGAACGTAGCCGAGCTTCCCCCACCAGGGGTCGGTCGCTCGCGCGTCGTGACGTCAGCGCGCGATCTAGGATGCCGGCGCGCACGGCAGCGGCCGAGCACGTATGTGACATGGCGTCCGGGTAGAAAGAAAGTTAACTGCTAAATAAGCGTTAATGTTGTTCTTATGACACTGACCGACCGAAAAGGGAACATCCGAGGCCGCGAATTTCCCACAGACACCGGCATTGATGGTAATGCATGCGAGGAAACCTCAAAGGATCAGCGATGGGTAGGGCTCTGCAGTCAAATACCCGATACTGACACACGACCAACCTCTCTCTTTCTCTCTCTCTCTCCCTCCCTCACGCCTCTCCTCTCGTCACCGACGTCTCCGTCCACTCGTCCGTACGCCTCGTTCGACCGCACATACACACTTGCATCGCAAAGCAACACTCACTGCCACAATCCGCCGCTCACGACGTTCCACGACGATGGGAATCCGTTCGGGCGCCGTTCCCCGTGGAAACGACCGCGGCGGCGGACATCGCGCCACGACGACCTCCCTAACTCACGGTCCGTTGTCTTATGATTCCAGGTACTTCGAAAAGCACCAGGCCCATCCCTATCAGGTAAATAATAATAACTTCTACCGCCGGAGCGATTGGATCGGGGGTACGGAGGGGGGGAGGGGGTGTAAGATCTCTTACACAGGCAACGCACCTTCAACGTCATCGTCGTCGGCGTCGTCTACCGTCCTCGGCCTCGGACATCACGCATTATATTCTCGCCCGCGATTAACGCGCCGTCCGACGACGGAGAGAGAAAGAGATAGAGAGATGTGAGATCGGCCCGGTTTTCGCCCGAGTGACAGCACTCTTCCGTGAGCTTCGGAGAGCATCACAAACGTTCGTATTCGTTTCTCAGCTGGCGTCAGGCCGCGCGCGAGCGGGCGAGACACGCACGACGGCCCTTTTTTTTTTTTTTTTTCTATTTCAAGGGAAAATTCGCGGACGCGTAGAATCGATCGGTCATCATCATCATCATCATCATTATTATTATTATCATCATTATCATCATCGTCATCCTAACGCGGCGTCTCGAAGTTCAGACATTCGCGCATCTCTGGTTTTCTCTTCTCGACTCGTCCTGTCAGGCTCATCGTCGTGTCGGATTCTTTGTTGGTTTATTAATTTTTTTTCTGTCTCTATCTCTGTCTTTTTCTTTCTTTCTCTTTCAGTCTTTCCGCGCGTTGAGGTAGAGATCCTCGACCGTTCACCAGGTCATCGTCGCGATTATTAGCTTAATCGCTGGCAATTTATATATATATATATATATATATATATATATATATATATGTATATATGTATATATGTACATATATATACATATATATACATATATATGTATATTGTACACCAGACGTTTTGAGACGACGAGCTTGATGGACGAGGAAGAATCTTCGGCAGCTTTGACAAGTGACATTTCGCCGAATGTTTTCGTCGATATACATTTAGATACGTGTTCGATTGTCGTCGCGAAAATTCACGTTCCGATAGAATTTTTTGGGGTAAACTCGGGGATTAGATTGATATGGTTTAATTGTAGAGAGGATTGTTCATGGGTTTTCTCATTTATTGATATTGTGGTGTTGCTCTCTCTTGATTTTCATACATTATTTATGCTAAGAGATTAACAATTATTGCATGCACTTGTATCATTACTTTAATTTAATCGTAAACGAGATGAAAAGATCGGTAATTTAATCGAAATGTCGCCAACATTGTCCCTCTTTTTACATCTAATTAGAGAAAATTACTTGCCAGTGTTGTAAACATAACCTCACTTTTTGAAAAATCAATAATTTATTCTAGCAAATAATATGCTTGTAGAATATTTCAATATTAGTTTATCAAAGCTCTTGTTTCAGTTTTCTTGTCGTTTCGATGGTTTTTGCAGTATTTTAAAGTGTAAATCTAAAAAAATTATCATGAACATAGTAATTCTAAAATTATATACTAGAGTTTCTTTTAATTAGAGTTTCTTTCTTGGAAAAAAATTTCCAATGTACTTCAAAATATTTATGTTTTATAATGCAATATTAAAAAAATATTAATTTTATAATTTTTATAAAAATGAGAAATATCTAACAAGTAACAAGAGTTCGTTTTAAGTTAGGAATGGATATGTACGCAATTAATATGATATGAAGGTGAATAGTATTTAAAATTACTGACGATTCTATAGGAACATAGTGAATTCTATAGAAGAATCAGAAATTTTATGAAATTATTGATTTAATTTTGCTTTTATCATAACATTGCTTCTCTTACATACAGATTCTCGCAGATGGCCACTTAACTGAAACAGTTGGTTATTCCAAAGTTGAACCTATAATAGTCAATAACATTTTTAATAACTATCTCATGTATTCATGATGAGAAAAGTAATTTTAGAAGTAAGCAATCTTCTCATGTATCTTGAATTACTTGTATAATCTCCTGTTTATATTGTTAATAATTTGATTATAGAACGCAAAGTACAGCAGTTCTAAGGGTGGCTATTCCTCCTCGACCACGTCGTCGGATGGTCGCTACGAGGGACGTATGCGTGATTCTCCAAATGGTAACTCTTACAGTCCAGCAGGCAGCTTGGGAATGGGAATGGGGACGGACCGGGACAGCCCTCGGAATTACACATCCAAGCCTCTTTACAAGAAGGAGAGAGAAAATAGAGACTATAAATTATCCTCCTCTAGGGACAAGTATTCCGGTAAATAATTTTTGTTTGCTATTTTTTTGTAATATTTTACTAAATAAAACTATATTTGGAAAGCTAATTCAAAAAAATGCGACGACAGAAAAGTATATTTTTGAATATTATTGAATATATAAACTACTGTATATATCAGTTGTGCTACGTACCATGTATATAAGTAAATGATATTGTGCTATGATATAATAACTATTCTTGTTCTTCACATGTACAATTCTTGTTTTGTTTGTCTAGAATCTCATCACCTTCTCTTTTTTTCAGTATAAAAACAGAATTGTCTCTTAACATTTTCAGCTGTAACATGCTTGCTTGCATATGTGTAGATTGTGCACGATCCCCAAAAGACAAGAGAAGCCGTGAAAGCAGGGACTCGGAACACAGGACCAACCATGATAGGAGTAGTGGGGAGGTATGTATTATATTAATATATAATTTAATAATTGTTATAATTGAAAAAATATGATTGAGACTTGAGAGATTTATAATTCCTCTTAGATATGATAGTCATATTATAATGTCTCGAAGCTGCTCCAAAAAGCTAAAAAGAATAAATATCATGATATAGTAAATATTACATCAAATTTAATAATCTTTATATATGAAACTTATGTTTGTTTCTATTTATTCTCTATAGGCATGAAATTTAATTTAAAAGAATCAATAATATAAAATATATTGAACCAATAATTTATCTGTTGCAAAATTTTTAATTTTAACAAGGTTTTAAATATGTATAAACTAAATATGTTATGCAAAAGATATATATATATATTTTTTTTGGCATGCATATGTGCATATATATTTATAATATATTTGATATTATCAAAAACATTTTCTTCTTAGATCCATGTTCAAATGGACTGTTAGATAATAATAAAACAGAATCATTTAACACATATGAGAATATTGTGTATCTCTGTTAGATCAAATATCTTACTCGAGAAGCATCTACTATTATAAAAAATAATATTTATTTACGTCTCTATATAGATCTTACATCCCATAAAATTATCATCAAATTCATCAAGAGAATCTTCATCCCAGAGAAAACCATCACACAATTCCTGTCAGGTCAGTGCCTTATAATTATATTTATTTATATCGGTGCATGTTAACCAAAATTCTAAATTCTAAATTTATATAAAAAATAAAATAATATTACATAATTTTTACTTATTCATGTAGTATAATTAACGTGTATTAAATTTATATATTTAAAAATATAAATTTTGTTATATATCAACACTGAACAAAATTCCTATAATTTTTTATTACTTTAATTTAAAGAAACTATTGTGTGTGAAAAAATGTGATTTTACACACATGCACAATGTGATAATAACCTCAAGAATATGGACGAATATCAACGTTTCGAACAACTTTTGGACTAACTTTTGGAATTCATGCAAATATTTCCCATCTATTCAATCGTTTCCAGAAATTTTAGAACAGTCTGTTTAGGATAAACGTGGTGATGAGCGAGGAGGTGCAATGGAACGTACAGCAAGGTTTGGAGATTGGTCGGAACACATGAGTTCATCAGGAAAGAAGTATTATTACAACTGCAAGACAGAAGTTTCTCAGTGGGAGAAACCACGAGAATGGATCAATCGGACAGATAATCGTCAACGCCAGTCTAGTGACTATTCTTCTAGGTCAAGTACGTTTAAATTTTCATTTTAATTATCAAATATGCATAACATATTAAATAGTGAATGAAAATTTGTATCCCAATATTCAGTACTTACAGCTTAGACATTGATGTATTATAAAAAAGTCTTTATAAATTTATTTACAAATTTGTTCATGAATTTATTTTTTCTTTCTTGAATTAGAACATACTGTAACATGCAATTTATTTTTTTACGCTATGTTCATTGATTTCAAATAAAATGCTTATTGCATTTTGTATGCTACTTTTAAAAAGATTAAGGAATAATTATATTAAATTATATTCTCTGCAATTTTTGATATTTTGGTAAAGAAATGTTTTTGTTGCCTCTTATGTGAAGTGTATAGGACTTTTCAAAATCTGAATTTTTTCTGAATAGGTCATGATAAACATTCCAACTCGCGATCAAATAGCAGTAGCAGTATGCGAGATGGTAAATCGTCGCGACAGTCTGACAAACGAGAATATTGGAGCGCATGTGGCGGGAGTGGTAGTAGCAGTAGCAGAGAAGATGTTTCTGCGAGGGAAAGGGAGCGGGAAAAGGAACGAGAAAGGGAACGAGAACGCGAACGAGAAAGAGAATCCTGTAGAGAGGAAGCTAGTGTGGAACGTCAGGCTCAGGATATGGATATCTCGCCAGGCGATTCCACACCCACTTCAGAACCCGTGACATCATCCTGCGCTCACGATCCACTGCCACAGGGCCCTGTTCTCTTGGCCACTGGTATGTTCTTTATACACAGAAAGAATTTTCTCTTAGAATTTTCAAAATCATGACAATCGTGGCATGTGATCTTGGAAGAATTTTATAAGAGTTTCTTTAATTAATATTTACCATAACAAAAAATATTAATATCTACCATAATGAGATATAAAATATGTTTAATTAATTTTACATTAAAATATATAGTAAAATTCAATAATTTTAAAATATGTAAAAATATTGTTTCTTTTTAAATATTAATTTTAGATAAAATAAGGAAATAAAAGAAACTTATTACGCGTATTCTTAACAATAATAATTTCATTATACATTATTTTCAAAATATTAATATGTGATGATTATATATTTTTTAATTTGATTAAATTATCTTTTTAAATTTTGTAAAAGTTTTTTACATTTTTCTCAAATATGTCTTTCTAAAATTACTATTTTTTAAAAATATGCATAATATATATAGGGTATATACTCCCAGAAAAAAATTTGGTATTCTTAGGAAATTTTGTTTTATCTTGAAAAATCGGAATTTTTATGAAATTTGATTGGGATTCAGAAAATTAAAAAAAATGATCTTTTGATAATTTTACTCTTATTTAGCACTTAAGAAACATGTCTAATCTTTTATTGACGATCTATTTCAGTATCAATATCTTAGTTTCATAAAAATTGTTCAATTTTTAATAAGTAATATTTAAATAAATTAGTATTCCTTATTTATAAGTAATTAAATAAATTAATATTCCTTATAAGACATTTATAATAAATTATTTCTTGTTTTCTATTTTTATTTTATATTTTTGCATATATTTTTAGCGTTTAGATATAATGCACTTCGTTATTGTCCAAATTAATTTTATAATTAATAAATCAATATTAAATGCTATAAAAACTGTACTCTTGATAACTTTTCAATCATATAAATAGAAAACATTAAAAAGCGTATATAATAAAGAAACTTTTAAAAAGCTGCATCTACAAATTTTCTTATTTTATCTAAAATTTTAAACGAAAATATCGGGAAGATCAACGAAATTCTCAGGAAATTTTTACAAAATTTGAGTAGGTTTCTGTATATATTTTATGGAACTCTAACATATTATATGTTATATACAAAAAATTTCTAATACTGATAATTTTGTGTTTTTGTTTAGCATTACCTCGATTAACATCACATCCACCGACAACGACACCGCAGGCAGCTGGAAAACTTAGTTCGCCTACACAACAACAAGGAAACAGTAACGCCCCGGGACCACCGGTGTCACTGGCAAATCTCCCAAGACTTATATCGCAAATTACGGGCAACAAAGAACAACCTGATATCACTCCACAGAAAGCATTACAGACAATTCAAACAGCCATCTTGTTATCTCGACAAGTAAGAAAATAAAATCGTTAGTGCTTTTATACCAATTTGAATAGCTTGTTATACTTTCATATAATGCAAATTATCATGATATGAAAAAGTATTTATTTTTCTTTTAGTTTTTCCCGTTTTTCTTGATATTGATATATAGTGAATAAAACAATTATCTTTTTATCTAAATATCTTTTTATCAACTTTAATAAATATGAGATTAATTTTTCTTCAGAATTTTCGAAAAAAACTATGTATTCTTTATAAGTTTTTATCTTTTATATAATGATTATACACACACATTCATATATAATTAGACTTTATATTTTAAAAAATCAGTTAAAATTCTAAATGTAGAGTTTTTTGTTATCAATTTAGATTATTATTTATTATTCTTTAATTTTTAATTTTGTCTGTCAATGCTTAAATATTAATATAATGATAATCATTTTTAATCTTTATCTTTAATAATCATAATCAAAAGTATTTAGTAATTTTAGATAATTAATATTTTTTCTTTGTTTTGAACATATGCGAACGTTATTACACTTATAATGTTATCTGCTTGCCGCTTTTATGTAGCAGTCCGCTAGTGGAGACCGAAATAATAGTGGAAGTGATGTGATGGTCCCGCTAAAAGTTGATACAAGTGGCAATATTACTAGCGAGGGTCCACCTACTCCCACACATTCAGAAACCCAGGATTGCATTGACGCACGAAAATGTAAGTTTTTTTTTTAATTCGAAGATGTTTAAAACTCAAACATGTTCATTTTATCTTATTAGATGATGACAATTTGTTAGTCCTTATATTTGATATATCTTACTCAATATCTAAATCATTTAGCATCATTTAATTCACAGATAAATAATCACTTTATACTTTTTATGGCATCTATAAAGTAATCATAATTACAAATTTGTATTACAAGATTTATTCATGACACTTATTTTGCACTTTATTCATATCAAAATTAAATTTGGAATTTGGAGCTTAATCAAATAAAATGTAATTTTGGTTCTATAGCCATCAGTAAAAATCGTAAATTTGATAAAAGATTCTAACTTTTAAAAAGAGAAATAGTATATATAAAAAAATTAATCGTTATCCTGATCTAAATATACATTCACAAATTATTTTAAATACGGGAGAGAGAGATAAAATCTTTTATTTCCTTTTCCAATATTCTTTATTTTTTTCAAATATGTTTTAAAAATATACATCGTCTTTGTCTTTTTATAGTAACGAGTCCTGGGGGAACAAATTCTGGAGTACAAGGTCTGAGCTCGTTGCAGAGCCTCAGTACATTAGGGTCCCTTGGAAATTTAAGTAATACAGGAGGTTTACAGGCATTATCTAGAGTGCAGCCTCCCCTAACACCTTCTTTAACACCATCGCTCGCTAATCATTATCGGGAAGACTTGACGCAACACGTGCGTGCTTTTCCCGCTGATATTCTCGAAAAACAGGTAAGAATGCGACCTTTCAGATAAAAATTTCTGATGTTATTAAAAAAAAAAAATTCTTAAATTAAATAATTTTGTTTAGGCACAGAAACTTAGTGAGGAAGCACATACAATGGGCAGTTTACAATGTACGAGAGTGTCTGCAGAATTAAAAACGGCACGATCGATAGTGAGGCTGACAGAAATCCAGGCAACGTTGCAGGAACAAAGGTAAACATCTTATTTATTTCGTTTTGGAGCATTTAATAAGTGCTACATCAAATGAAAGAAATTGTTCTCTTGACTTTTTATTCATTATTTCGTTTATTTATTTGTCATTTTAGGATATTATTCCTCCGTCAACAAATTCGAACACTGGAGGAATTAAAATCCCAAAATTCCTTCATGTCTGATGATTCTTAGTGTAAGAATCTTTATAAAGTAATTATAATTAAAATCTATAATTAATTCAAGCAAAAATAAAACATGATTATTAATATTCTCATTAATATTGAATAATTAAGATTGTACCTAAATTATAATATCGTAATAGAAGTGATATAATAGCAAATGAACATGGGCTGCTCAGAGAGGATCGGCTGTTTTATTTAACAGCCAATGAGTCTTAACTAATGAATAAATTTATTATTAGTGAAATCCACCTCTCTGAGAAGCACAGCAGGCCTATCCAAGTCGCAAACACAACACTAAATGAATAGAAAAAACAAATCAATTTTATCAGTTCAATGCAAACTGCTGAATTGTATATCTGAATTATCCACATCGTCTTGTATTTACCTATGTTATACGTGTCAATGTTTCATATCCCCAGATTAAGCGGCATTTTAACTAGTTGAAACATTTTCGTTGTAAATCTCGGAATAAAATTCGTGCCACAAGTTTTAATACAGTTCTTTATCGCCATAGTCTCACTTACCTAATCTCCCAAATTTTCTTTTTTCATTAAAAGTTTACATCAAATATATAAATATTATATAGGGAAAAAGATAATATAGGGAATTGTATGTTCTATATTCAGATTTGTGTTTGATCTCCAATTCATTTTATTACACAGGGTTTTTGACATAATAGAATGTATCATCGCTGAGCGAGCACATATTGATATATTGTTATATACATGCTCTCCTATTTACATCGTGTAATTAAAAAGTATATAGCAGTGTCGAAATCTTTAGATTAACTTAAATAGCCATCATTTAACTTTTAATGTGTAAATAGCAGAATCAGAGTGAGTACTATTATTTGTGAACAAAATTTGATGTATGTTAAATTTCTTGAGTTAGTAAGAACATTATTGTATCGAAACTGTGGATCTAAAAAATAAACATATGCATTTTTTATATTACAATTACAGATAATTTGTTTTACTTTATTTGTAATTTCCTATATAACTATATTAAATGAAACAAATAAAGATAATATTTGTTAGTTATGGTCATAATCTTAATGTTGGATAAACATTGTACTGTATATGGAATAGTCAATAATAACGCTAATTGTAATTGTTATTTAAGGGATTGTATTGTTAAGGAATCCTTTAATGAGGTATTTCAAACATTTTTTACTGTAACTTATTTATTTGAATTATATATATGCATATATATGTATATATTCAAATATATACATATATATATATATATATATATATATCTGCAAGAAGTGGAAGGAGTATATTAAACGATTCATACTCTACTGAAAAAAATGTTCAAAACGAATTGTTTGCGTATCATGTTGTTGAAAATTATCTTTTGAAATAGAATTGTTATAACAATTTGTAGAGCGATATATGTGTATATATATAACATATGTATACAATTTAAGATGTCGAAAACCATGAATGTGATATAATAATTCACAATATGTGCATCTCTTATTTTGTATATTTCTTTAAGGAACTGTCAAGGAGCAATCCTACTAATTACAGGATTAAAACAAAATGGAAAAAAAATCCCATAAAATATACTTTATCTTAAATATCGGAATAGAGCGATTGAATTTATGTTATAAATTTATGTCCATTTCTAGATTACTTTTTGATCCAAAGAATTTTAATATGGATTTGCACATTTTTAATAATTTTTCCTCCGTATATCAGAGTAAATAATTTTTAATTATTTTAATGTATATTAATATGTATATATATGTATGTGTGTATATGTGCACATACTATATAAAATTCTTTAGTTCAAATCATTTTACTAAATGCCCTCATATTTTTTTTCTAAATATTTTGAAATAAAACTATAACCCAAAAATTAATTAACCAACCTCGTCGTTTTTAATTTTAATTAGTATTTTTTAATATTATCCTAATATAATTATATAATTACATGATTATTACGTGTATAATCATATAATTATACACATAGTTAGATAATTATATAATTATTATGTGCATAATTATATAATCATTATAGATAAACAGAGATTAGTATTAAGAATAGTATTCGTAATAATATGTTAACGTATCTATCACGGTGTTTCTCAACACAAGCTCCAAGTAACTCCTGAGTACTTACAAGAGCTATTCATTAAGGCAACTTTATGTCACCTTTATTCAATAAAAATAAAGAATCGAAAGAGTAACAATTATTCTTTGCTTTTCTGGTCCACAAAAGAATTCCACATATATATATTTTTTTATTGTTATCATTGCGAGTATTATTGACTTACATTTTATCTGTATATTCTGTAAAATCAAATGCATTTATAATAATGTATCGTCTTATAGAAATAAATTGCAGCTTACAGATTTTAAGATATTGTGTGTGTATGTATATACATACATACATCATACACACACACACAGTTTTTATGGGGGAAAAAAAGATTCAATCGCTGTATTAGCGTATTTCGTCAACTTTGCATGTACGAATAAAGATGGCTTTTCTTATACATTTTGCTATAACAAATCGCTTTTGAATTGTTCTATGATTCATCGGTTGAGAAACACCGATGTGCTTTTCATAATATTAACTAATGTTACACCATGTCATGAGAATACAACATTCCCATAGCACCTGAAGCATACAGTGAACATTCTCCCACATATTATTTTATTTAATTACAGTCAGTCATTGGATTTATTTCATAACAAACTCCCTCATTTCTGAATTCCATTAATTGCTTAATACATTTTCAATAGAATCATTACAGACATTCAGAAAAATTCAGTACAATGCATGATTTCCAATGGACTAAGATTAGAATAAGGCCTCGGAATATTTAACATATTGTAACATCTCATGGTACATAAAAATACATCATGAAAACAATTTTAGTTTTGGCCGACTCTATTAAAGTAGAATTACAATAGTAAGAGTCTAGAAAAGAATGTTTTTAATAACAGTATTTTATCGACATTATTGATTGTATATATTTTGAAAATGCTATATATATAAAATTTCGCTTGAAAATATAGTGATGTATACTTAAAGCTATGCATCTTTCCATGCTATTGTCGTACTGTCTCACAATCAAGGATTATACTTCGATTAAGATAATCTGAAATAAAACAGATGCGCATTTTTATAGAAACTATATGAGTATAAATATTATTAAACGTATGTATACGTAGATTTTTAAAAAAATATTTTTTCGAGTTTTAAAATTTACCCTTTTTTTAGCCAAAAATGTTTATTTTATCTGTAGTTTGCAATTTTTATATTTAAAAAAATTTATACGTACATTTATAATTACATCCATGCAATTTTCTAAAAATACAAACCCTTTTGGTTTCAGATAAACGAAATAATCCTTTGAGCAATCTGACAATAGTATAACACATTATAAGGCACATAGCTTTTATATTCATTGTTATTATTTTATAACGAAAAAAATTGTTTATATAAATTTTTAAATGAAAAATATATAGTCGATTTATCAGCAAGATTTTTGTTAAAGAACATCACGTGTGATTGAGAAAAATATATTAAAGATGTTTCTTTTTCCTTTAATAAAATAATAATGTGTATATGTAATAATAATTTTATACATAATAATACACTTGTGTGTGGAGTAAATATTACAATTTAAGAAAAATATATAAATACTAAAACGAAAATTTCAGTCATGAGATGTTACATATCTATTGTTGAACATTTTTAATGCAGTTCTCTTCGGATGTTTATGCAAACATAGAATGGAGAGCATATAAAGCTACAAAACAAGTCCAATATGATTTGCTTTATAATTGTTAATACATCTACGTTATACGTTCATTATGTATTTGTAAGGCCATATATATATATATATATATATATATATGTATATATATATATATATATTATATATACGCGAAATTTATTATAAAGATATTGCCTCTCCGTAAGGCAATATATTCGATATAATAATTTGGAAATTTGTCTATTCATAGACAAATGGACGACACAGCCTCAACAGAGAATGTTCACAGTGTAAGACAGCAGCACAGATATATCTCAGCGCAGCCTCACTCTACCATTAATTACAATATCTTTATTTGTTTTATAATCATGTAAAACAGAGTCATCCTGTGTCAATCACTTAATTATGTCCAAAAAATCCTTTGTAGGTCATTCGATATGAGTTTCTCTCTTAAAAACTAAAATCATGTTATTCCTATATATTAATCCCGAAATAATTTTTAAATTATTAATCGGTACATACGCGAGATTAGCTTGACGTTCAGTTGCATCACAGAAAAGTTTTCTTAAAATCACCCATACGCTAGCGTATTATATATTTTATTAACACTGTTTACATCTTAAATGGGAGATATACCTACAAAGGGTGTTTTGACAATGTTAAATATACAAGTGCTTAACATAAAGTTATTATGAATTTTTTGTCTCTTAATAATGCATAGAACTTAAAAACTCTCAATATGTTTACATGTAAATATTATATAACAACAGGGATAAGTAACAACAGAATTAACAAAATGTTTTGTACCTAGATGTCTAATATGGCATAAGATGGGTCATGTGCCGAGTTATTTTTGGCTACTGTCAGATCTAAGCCAACATTGTACACAACTAGTCTAATCTTAAATAAGATGTGCATGATTTTAATATAATGATTCATTAATCATTATTACATGCCATCACTACTTTCCACTTTAGGGACTTCTAAAAAGAAAGCTTAGTCTCAGTTATTTAAGTAATAAAGTTCCAAAATTAGTATCATAAATTAATGTCAAAAGATGCACTTACAAAAATTATTCATTATTCGAGTGTGAATTGTGTACGCCATCATAAAGATATTTGATAAAAAAAACTCATTTATTTTTATCTAAAATATAAATCCTCTTCAAGTGATAAAAGGAAACATTTTTCGAATGTTTAAAAAGTCAACAAATTAGATATTTTTTTTTATTTTTTATTATATTATTTGTTTTTGATTATATATCTAAATAATGAAATTTTCAAAACTTGTCAATTTTGACTGGCTCTCTTCGTTTTAATGATATCTAAGATGATATAAATAAATATAGTTTAATATAATAAATTCATAGAAACAAATATATTATTCAACTTTCAATTAAATTTTTCAAATTTTTTAATATTAAATCGAATCAAATCTTTATTTATTATATCATTTTAGTATGTAAGTACATATTAATAATAATTGAAAACATAATTAGAAAAATATTCAGAAACTTATCCTATAAACAAAAATTATAAGATAGAAACTCTTTAGAAGCCCCATAATAATCTATTCCCATTCAACATATCCTTTTTTAAATTTATTTCATTCATTCTATGATAAAACACACATTATAATTATAATCCTATCAAAATGGCATTCAGTATTTTCTTATAGGATTATTTCATTCAATATATAAAAAAAATATACAATTTCGATTACTCAATGGAAACGTTCAGTAATCGTCAGTTTGTACTATCCGAATGCCATTTTTGTGTATATTACACTTTTCCTGGACTAGTTCTCTACAAAGATTGTGTAGGGCTGCCCACGAAATTCTAATTAAAATATAATTAATGCGCGTGTATGTGTATGTGTGTATAGTGGGATTTTATTGATATATAGTCAGTTCACAATGCTCGTACACAATGTTACAATATTTTACAAGTGTCTTTAGACTATTATTATTATCCATATACATTTTCATGGACAATTTTTAAAGATGACAATGACACTGAGATGATCGTTTGATTACACAAAATCTTGTAAGATATTTGTTAAACAATTAATATGACTTTCATCAGACAAAAGATATATTGCAATACATAAACATAGAAAAATTAACGATTTTTAACAAAAAAAAATTATACAGAAGACAGCTAAACGTTTAATATTTCCAATGTTTAATATACGTTTAATATTTCCATGTTTTTAATAGACACATAAATAAATTCTTTAATAAAATATTACACGATATTTAAAGAGACAAATATAATAAAATATGAAATAATATAAAAATGATCGAAAATTAGATTATTTAAAATTATTATATTCGTTCTCTTAATTTTGTCTGCATTTGTCTTGAAGAACTTTGTTAATATTCAAATATATCAAAAATATTCAAATGTTATTTATGTATGTATAATATATTTAGCTGTCATCTCTGGCTCTGTGTATAATATTTAATAAGGAAATTATTTTATACTTGTGCTTTTCAATTTATTATTATATCTTTGCCGAATAAAGTGTAACATCAAGATTCTAGGTCTTGCAACCTATGCTACGAGCTGTGACTGACTTATACTTACCTGAGCGGGGTTACAATCTCCCACTAGAGTTTTTAATCTTCAATTGCACGTATTAAGTGCTTATTATAAGTTTTTCTTTATCGAGGTATTTTTCAATTTCGGTAAATATGTATGTTATCTTGAGTACGTTATGTCGGTATACATACGCACCACGTCTGATTTCTCTTTTTTTCTTTTTTCTTTTTTTTTTTTGGTAAGGTCTTAGTAATGCAAAGGCATCACGATTTTCACTGGCTTCATGCCAACTCCAGGGTATTATTTTCATTATTACTGTATAATTTAAATAATTTATAATTTACATTTCTTTTTCTGTAGAGAGAACACAAGTGGTTGTACGCAAGCATATTCGGGGATTAGCTTTGGGTTACTATATTACAAAGATGCTTGGTATATACCACCACACTGATGTGATTGATGTATGACAGAAATTCATTTTATATATTGTATAACGCTTAACATACATACAGGGACATACCTAGATATACAGATGGATATATAAGGACGCACCTGAGTGTATGCGTGAACGTTATATGTCACATGCTCTCTACCGCACGCATCTTCGAAATGCTTTTTTGATTTTCCGTGATGTTGATGCCGATTGGGGTGGAGCGCTGTAAAACAAGATAATATATCTTATTAGTATAGAGTGAACTAAAAGAGGAGCTTACAACTTTTTTCTGAATAATTCTCAAACGAAATAAAAACATGATTTTTTAAAATAATTATTTTATTTGGACTTGGCAATACAAAATTTAATTTTGCAGCTTGTTGGAAGATATTCATATTTTAATGAGAAAATTATTATGAGTGATAAGACTGATTTTGATCTCAGTAGCTTCATTGATAAACAAAATAACTGATTCTGATATTCAGTATTATTTTGTCTATTTGTATTTAATTCATCTGTAACTTTTACGTTTTTATAAAATGACAACATGGTATTTGAGCTAAAAATGTCAGATCTTTAAGAATGTCAAGGATAATAATGCTTATAATGATTGTGAGAAGATCTTCCTGATCAAATTGAATGAACTGGGTTTAGAAAATAAAAAACAATGTTACACTTGTGATACAACACGAGTCACAATGGAAATTTTGAAAAAAAAAAAAAAAAAAAAGTTTCCAGACCAATTAATTTCAAAATTCGATAACATTAATTGGCCACACATATCCAATTTATAAATGGCACATTTTTATGGAACCCTTAAAAAAAAGATGCATGAGAATAAGCTAAGAATGATTGATTACGAAAAACAACATAAAGTTGTAAATAAAATAAATTGCTTAAAATATGTAAAAATGCGGTGAAATACGGTCTCGACAGAGCTTGCTATTTGCATAATAGATTTTATATATTAATTGTCAAGTCTAAATAAAATAATAATTTAACACTCTAAATAAAATAATTATTTAAAGTCGAGTGTATATTTCGTGTGAGTCAAAAAGTTATGTAAATCTTTTATAATCTATCTTGTATATGATGACAAATTTCTAATCAATACATATACTTACTTGAATGATGTCGGCGCGCTTCCTTTGGTGAAGTTGAATGAAGGCCGACTGTGGGGATCGAAAACTATGGGAGTACTAGGAGGATTAAAGTTAAATCCTCCGGTTGGCGTAGATGTAGACGACTGTAACATCACAAAGTACCAATTACTAATATTATAATTTTGAGAAATTAAAAAAATACTAGGATACAATATATAATATATACATGAGAGGGAAGAAGGGCACAATTACACTATCTTAAATAACTATTTTAATTGCTAAAATATAAGTATGCAATTTACCATTCCAAAGTTAAAGCCTCCTGATGCTGCAGCGGGTGAAGCTGCAGATGCAAAATTGAATCCTGTACTGGACGAAGGGATAGACGAGAACGATGGTGAGGTTGCTTGAGTCTGTGGATTTGTCTGCGGGGCACCGAACATTGGAGTCGTTGCCGCACCTTGAACACCGAATGCCACCGGTGTTTCTTGTTTAGGTGCATTAAACGCAAAACTGGCACTAGTGTTCTGACTGGTTGAAGCAGCATTAGCCCCGAATGTACCACTACTGAACATATTGTTACTATTCGGCGGTGCGTTCGGATTGTTACCAAATGTGAAGAGCGGTTTTGTAGACGATGAAGCCGGATTAACGTTCGCGGAAAAGTTAAATCCACTGCCTGTCGCCGGTTGCTGCGTTGATGCTGAGCCAAACTTAAATAAAGAAGAATTCGACGCTGGATTAGCTTCGACACTGGGCTTGATAGACGAGAATAAAGTGGTAGGCGTCGTTGCGGTTTCACCGAAAGCAGGTGTAGCGTTGTTTCCAAAAGCAGTAGAATTAGTGGATGATCCGAAGAGCGACGGAGTAGTGCTGCTACTGGACGGTATGCCAAATGTCGGTAGAGGACTCACTGTGGGTGAATTAAATATAATGGGCAATTTCGCTTCTGGTGTCCCGAAGATTGTTGGTTTATTATCTTGCGTATTACTGCCAAATGTTGGGATTTTCTCGGGTATGGCAAATCCTGAGGGCTTGCTGCTGTCCGTTGTAAATGCCGACGATTTATCCGTGCCGAATGCTATCGTCGTTTTCGATTCATTACTGTTGAAAAGCGACGTGGAACTCGATATGATCGGGAAGAGCGTAGTAGCTGGCGCATCATTTGCGGATTTGTTGGATGACGGAGTGGATGCTTCAGCTAGCTTGTTTTCTCCAAACGATAGATTCGTAGATAATGCGGCAGATGATGTCGGAACTTGGCCAAAAGTTGGTATTGTTGACTGAGGCGCTGTCTTTGAATCGGAAAATGTGAAAGTAGGTTGAGCAAAAGTTGGAAGACAAGTAGTCGTTGCATTCGTGGAAGTGTTACACGTTACTTGCTGCGCATTACCAAATTTGAATCCATTTAAGGGGGATGCAGTATCAGACTTAGAATTATTATCAGCCTTATCTATACCGAATTTAAAGCCACTTGGATTAACTAAGTTTGATGCACCAGATGGTACACCAAACTTAAACTGCAAAGTAGAACTAGTAATGCTCGATGCAGGTTCGTTTGATTTTGCAGTACCAGGCTTTAAAGCTTGGCAAGCCACACATTGTGTATGATTTGCATCATTTTGTACCAAGCAAGAATCACAAGTCCACGAACCTTCCGGCTTTTTAAATTTGTCTCCAAATCCATTAGTCGGTGTCTGATTTGTGTTGCTCGATCCACCAAGAGAATTGGGTTTAGAAGTACTACAGCAAGGACAAATAGTTACAGAGTTGTTGTTTCTCACAAGGCACCCTGAACACTCCCAGGAATCTTGACTTGGTTTAAATTTGTTCATTAATTCGTTACTCGATGTTGTTTCTTGTATTGCTGCTGTGTTATCTGTATCAGCAGTGCTCAACTTCTGTGGCGATGATTCTACAGTAATAGTATTTGTCTTCCTTGGGCTTGTTTTTATGGAAATAGGTTTAGGTGATTTATTCATTATTTGATAATTATAAGATGTTGTTTCTTGTGTTGTCATCTTGTCTGTCTCAGTAGTGCTCGATTTTTGTAAGAACGATTCTGTAACAGTTTCTGTCTTCTTCAAATTTGTTTTTATGGAAGTAGGTTTAGATGCATTACAACACGGACATGTAATAATGTTCGCGGCATTTCTTAGTAAGCAACCATGACATTCCCATGATCCTTCAGCAGGCTTAAACTTCTCCATTAAATCACAAGTTTGAGACTTGACAATTTGCTGTGTCGCAGAATTACTTTCTGGTTTTGACGCATAGCATGCTACGCATTTGACTTCACTCTGCTTGTTTCTTACACAACATACTGTACACTCCCATTGATTCGCAGATAATTTAAATTGAGAGCCGAAACAATCGTCTGCGACCGGTTTCGCCTTTACGATGGTATCTATCGTTGATGTTGAGCATGTTGATGTTGAAGTTTTGTCGTTAGGATCTGGTAGAGCGGATTTACACGCAGTACACTGTTTGTCTGTACCACTGTTCTTGATCAGACATTCACTACACTCCCAAGACAATGTGATATCGTGTGTGTTTTTGATATCTGAACTAGCACTCTTATCTGCATATATCATTTCGGAAACCAATCCTGAGTTTGACTGTCCGGTTAAAGTAGATTCCATTTTGTTAGATTTAGAGTACAATACATTCATAACACTTCCCGATTTTTGTTCATGCGCTGTCGCAGGTTCAACAAAATCATCCTTATTTATGTTTTTTATTTTTTTTAATCTAGGCGCTGTAGATGAGCCAGACCAGATAAAATTCGGCATAGACGTGGTCGTACTACCAGTGGAGGAGAATACAGTAGACTCAACATTCTCAGTTATTGAACACAAATTCGAATCGATTATCTTACTTGTGCTGTCATCGGCATTGATTGGATTACTGAAAGTAAAATTGTTAACAGATTGTAAATTTTTCTCAATATCTGGCATTTTAATTGGGCTAGAAAACGTAAACGTGTTTTCTTTATTTGCTATAGTTTTTCTGCAGAATGTAAAGCAGGAAATGGTAACGTAAAATTGAAATTGGGTAATGTTGTTATTGGCAGAGGTACATTCGGCAAATTTACAGGTGCCACTGTTTCTTCTTGTTCTAAATTTATTTTAGATTTGCCTTTCAGCTTGCCACGATATTTTTCATTATCGGCATCACCCATCCTAGAGGAAAAAAAGCGGATTTAAAATATTATTTATTTTCTAAAAATTCAGATAAGAATAAATATATAACTGCATTCGATAAATACCTCAACCGATATTCTTGTGATGGCGGAGGAGGATCGCTGCGAGAAGAAACGATTTTTCTAGCTGCGAGAGTTGTATCTTGCAATTTTTGACGTCTTCTTAGTTTCAATATATCAGGAACGGTTGGTACTGTTAATTCTCGCGTTAAATGACGCATGCCGATCCTAAGAGATGGGCTCGCTACTTCTTCTCGTAGTCTTTTTCTACCCATTATTGGAGATGAAGCATTATTTGTGTTTTTTAATGGAATCTTCTTCGCATCAGATATAGGTGATGAGAAATGTTCTAATGCTTCCAGTATTTTTTTCGCAGTTTGACTTATACCTGATGAATCAACTGTATTGGAAGGTTTAACTTCAATATTCGTTCTTCTTGGTACTTTAAGTTGTAACTGAAATTAAATATATTGACATAAATTATATCAGCAACAAATAATCTTTGTAATTCAGAGCATAAGGAATTAAATTTTATAAAATAAAAAATAATTGAATTACGTACCTCACTCGAATTATTAAAAAGATTACGACTTTGCTTGTAAAAACCTGCCGCATTTGCACCTCCATAAGTAATATTACCACTATAAAAAGGTGAGGACAGGGGAGATGCGCGATCTAGAACATTTGTCACAACTGATGCATTGAAACTCGGTCTACGACTGCTTAAAGTATCGCGAGAACTACTGTCTAGAAACAAGGATCTTGGAGATTGTAAATGATTAGCTGAAACAAAAATATAAAATTAACATAAATGTGAAATATACATAAATATATTGACATATAATTCTTTAAAAATAGTTTTAAATTAATCACAATTCATATTATACATTTAAGTGACTCTATAATATGCAATTTACTCACTAAATGTTAATTTATCATCAATATGTCTCTTTCTACTGGGAAATGTTGAATTGTATAAATTTGATGGGCCTTCATGTCTATTTATTTGTGGAATAAGCGAACTGCATCCACTAGTACTTTCACTCGACTCTGAATTATCATCAATTCCATTTATTATTCCATTATTAATCGATGAAGTTAAATTTAAGTCAGATTTGTGAGATGTTACAGTCCTAATATCTGCTTGCATTGCAGGAGTCGAAGATATTAAATGGCCTATCCCACTTGGTCCAGCTGTTGCAAGTTCCGAAAAATCTTCCCTCTGTAAATAAATTTTAATAAGCAAAATATATCTCTCTTGCTTTCTAAATATTTAATTCTGACATATTTGATTATCACCTCATCATGAATAGAATATTCCTTAGAGGGTTCAATCGTATTTAATGCACTTTTAGTTCTTGTTTGTATAGAAAATGTGCCAGGTGGATGAATAGTATCCATACAAATACGTGATCGCTTGTTAGGAGGCTGTTGTGTATCATCTTCTGTTTCCTCGATATTCTCTCTACTCTCTAATGCATCCTCATTACTTTGGAGAGGATTAAACCACTTACTAATCCATGATGATTGTGGTATAAAATCTGTTACCTTTGTCGCCATTTTCTTACAAATGACTGTAAAGAATATAAATATATATAATCAATACTGTTAATGCAAATTTAGCTATTATTATAGCATACATATTACTATAAAGCAAACATGTACAAATGTATTTCCAAATGCACAATGCACAAATGTATTTCCATCAATGTTAGGATAAATAGTATCAAAATGTAAATTTTAAATCTTTTAATCTTTATATGAATATTTTAAAAATATTTTTAGTTTAAATTCAATATATATATATATATATACATATATATATAATAAATAAAAAGAACAAAATAATATACAAATTAAACTAAAAGTTTTATTAATCCGCTATAAAGTAATTTATCACAATTTTTGCTATAAAACATTGTATTATTATTTATGCTTTTTATAGACAAAAATGTATTATATTAATTTATCAAATCAAATTATTATGTTTAAATTCTTTACAAATTTAAAAAATAGAAAATTTAATACAGTATAAAGGTATATAAAGAATTCTTATTTTTCTAAAAATAATAATTACGAAAAATTTAAATAATTCTGAGAAAATTGCATCGAATTGATATTTAATGTAAACATATATTCCAATTTAATTCCAACATTAATTTCCAAGTATAAAAGACACTGCAGCAAGTAGATGCAAAAGTAAGTCAGCTAAAGTTCAAGTTACATTATATTATGCAATACACAAGGAGATAATAATAATTTCTGCTCTGACTCTGACAATGTGCATAAGAAATTTCTCAACATTGAAGAACCATCTACATTACCCGAACGATAACACACTACGAGAATTCGCGCGAAGAGACCTACGCAAAGAGAGCGCGTGACGCTCTCAAAGGGGATACGGGGAGGGGGGAAGAAAGATAGAGAAAGAGAAAGGGAAAGAGCGAGAGACAGAGAAAGAGAGAGGAATACGCAGAGGAGGTATGATTCGCGTAATTTTTTGAAACCGCCAGATCTGGAGGCTTCCAAGAACCCTCGAGATTTAAATGAAGCTGAATCACGCTTCAAGATTACCACGATGATGATAACGATGATGCGTGTACGAGACAGCATAGCACGAGAATGAGGTTATCGAGCTCGCTCACATAACCGCGATATATCTCGTTGCGAAGGAAAAGGGCGGGCGTCCGGGAGGATACCACGCTCTAACGTCAAAAGGCTCCGCTCGCGAGCTGTCAAAATTCCGGGGAGGCGCGAACTCGGCGGGCTCGAGTTCAGTCTACTCACGTTGTTCGCGTCGTAGGGCTTCGCATTGCGCGACGACGACGACGACGACGAGGACGAGGACGGCCGCCTGCCGGCCGGATTGCTGCCGCTTCCCTTGGACATCCTCGGTCCGGTCGGTCGTAGCTCTCGGCTCCTGAATTTACCGCACTTGCACTACCACCACTGCACGACGATCGGTTACGAGACGCGCGCGCGCGACCCGATCATCGCCTCCTTGGAAATTTTCTTCGTTGGAGCAGCACCACCTCTTTTCCCTCTTGCCTGCGGGACCACGAGAGGAAATATGGCCGAGCTCGGCCCCGAAACCGCCACCACGGCGCTACGGGGCTTCCTTCGAATCATGCCCGATATATGATGCGCCTGACCACGTGACTATGGCGACAGCATCCGCTTTTCGCACCTGAGCTCGCTACCTGTCACGGAACTGTCAATATTTTTAAGTTTATTGAAAATAATTTTTAAAAATTTATCTGTGTAATTGGTAATCGTATTTCGGTATTGTGGAGGGAGATAAAAAGTTATTGGACAATAACGTAACGTTGGCGCGCTTTGAAATGTCAACCAATCAGAATTGACGATTTGACGTTACGCATTATTTCCGGAAGAATGGCAGATGATTTGTCGCGTCTCGTGCGCAGGAGCCTTTATGTACGCTTTATGTTTGCATCGGCAGTGAGCGACAGTTTTATTTACGTTGTTTGTGCAAGGTGTGTAGAAATATTTGTTGATTCAATAATCGGTGTGATATTTTTGTATATTTTTTTATAAAAAAAAATTAAAAGGTTTGTACGAAAGTATTAACTATTCTATCTTTCTTAACCTATTGAAAACGTTTTAAATTATAGATTATTTATACACTATTTTTATATTATTTCTTTATAAAACCAGAATTTACATATTCATAATTATATATATATATATATAATTATAATTAGATATATTTTTATTAATTTATTATTTTATGTAATAATACAAAAATATCTTTGAATATGTAGCATTTTTAAATCCTGAAATTTAAAAAAGAATGTGACATATACACATACATTTTATATACAATAATATTAGTAAATAATTAATATTAACTATGTAATTATTATCCAGATGGAGTCTGATTATGATGAAGATCGCAGTGGTTGGGGAGATGAAATGGGTCGAAGTACCGATGAGTGCGGTGGAGAAGACGCATTTGATAATCCGCAAGAAGTACTGAATGAATGTTTGGATAAATTTAAAACACCAGATTACATAATGGAGCCTGGCATTTTTGCCCAACTTAAAAGATACTTTCAAGCTGGAGGAAATCCTGAACAAGTTATTGAATTATTGTCCAAGAATTATACAGCTTGCGCACAAATGGCAAATCTTCTTGCAGAATGGTTGATTCTTGCGGGAGTAAAAGTTACAGATGTACAAGCAATGGTAGAAAACAATTTGAAAGATATGATTCTTAAAACTTTTGATCCCAAGAAAGCAGACAAAATCTTTACAGAGGAAGGTGAAACTCCTGCTTGGTTGACCGAAATGATACAGCATCCCACTTGGAGATCCCTAATTTATAGACTTGCAGAAGAATATCCAGATTGTTTAATGTTAAATTTTACTATCAAACTTATATCCGATGCTGGATTCCAAGGTGAAATTACAAGTATTTCAACTGCAGCTCAACAAATCGAAGTCTTCTCACGTGTATTAAAGACTGCGATTGCTGGATTTCTTGAAAATACAGAAAATTGGCAGTCCAGTATACAAGAGTGTGCAAAAATGGTGTGTCATGGTCAACACACTTATGTATATAGTCAAGTCTTGCTGCAAATTCTTGCACAGGAATCTCGCGGTGGTTTTATGATGAAAAGACTCTCTCAAGAAATTACTAAATGTGCTCAGCAGAATCGACACGACGTTACTCCAATAACAATGGCTCTAAATGGTGCTGCTAGTAGTCCTGGAGCATGTCAAGCATTAGCATCTATGTTATCAAGAAATACTTTAAATCCAGCTGACATTACTGTATTATTTAGAAATTATTCAACATCAGAGCCTCCTCCTATTGAACTGTTGCGTAATCCACAATTTTAGGTAAAAATTTATATTAATAATATAATATAATAATAACAAGGATTATTTATAGTATAGTGATAAATTTAAAAAGATCTCTTTCTCTATGATAAAATTTTGCATATTACAGAATTACTGGTTGATGCACTTTTTAAGCCTGGAGTTAAGATAAATCCTGAACATAAATCAAAATATATATATCTATTAGCTTATGCAGCAAGTGTATGCGAAACATCGCCTAAAAAAGGCAATACGACACGTAAAATTAACAAAGATGAGTTAAAAACGACTATTCAAGCAATTGAAAAAGTACACAGTATATGTAATATAAATAAAGGATCAACTGAGCTAATAGCAGAGTTGCAAACTCTATATCAATGCATACGGTAACTTGACTTTTAATATCTTTCCTCTATAAACTCTGTATCGTGGAAAAGAAAATATTTTTACTAACATCTTTTGTATATCTTTTGTAGGTTTTCTGTTGTAAGTGTAGGTGTAATTCGATGGGTAGAATGCACTGTAACAGAGCCATCATACTTCAAATTATGTACAGAACATTGTCCTGTGCACTTAGCTTTGCTGGATGAAGTTGTAGCCTGTCATCCTCTATTGCATACAAAAATATTAAATTTGCTTGTGCATTTATTCGAAAGCAAACAAGATGAATTAGAGATACTTGTACAGGTAACTACAAAGTCTTATAAAATTAAACAAGAAAAATTATCAACATTTTAAATGAACAATTTTCTTATGCAGCTGGAAATGAAAAAGATGTTAATTGATAGAATGGTAAATTTACTAAGCAGAGATTGTGTAGTACCTGTTGTGTGCTATATTAAGCAATGTTGGCAGCGTGGAGATACAGATGTATCTCTAATTAGATATTTTGTCACAGAGGTGAATTATATAGTTTTCTTTTTTAATGTAGTTTATATTATATAATATATTAATATTTTATTGTGTAATATAAATTTTAATTTGTTAGGTTTTAGAAGCAATAGCTCCTCCATACACAACAGAATTTATCCAATTATTTTTGCCAATGGTAGAAGATGAAGAAATTACTGGGACTATGCGTGGAGAAAATGAAAACGATCTAGTTTCAGAATTTATTGGTAAATATAATATTCATAACAGCAAATTAGAATGAAAATATTTTTATCTTAAAAAAAAATGATTTATTTTTTCAGTACGCTGCAAAACACAGAGTTCGGTCTTAAGATGACGCTATAAAAATTAATTACAAATAGAAGATTAAATCAAAAGTAAATTTACAATGCAAAGAGTGATTTTATTTTATACGAAAACAAAGATTGCTATATATAATTTGCTAAAAGCTATAAGTATATATGGGATGAATTTTCTGCATCCATCTATAATATCGTCATCTAGGCAGTTTCTGTAATAAAAAAGTATGTATATTATCTTAAAATATAGTACACTTTTATAAATATTATAAATCATAAAAGGACTTATTAATGAAACACAACAGACAAAAATGTTATTTTAGTTATATCTTGAATCTTAAGCAATATTATTTTATGGCTTATAGAGATACATACATATTTAGGTATGTATTATTTGTTTGATTGTCAAAATTATATATTGCTTGGATTTACAAAATGGAGATGCAGAATAATATCAAAAAATTATTAAACCATTATAAAAAGAAAATGCAAAAATAACTGCCTACTATATTATACATGATTAAAAGATTATTTTTTTTTTTTTTTGAGATTAGAATTGCCACACTTGTGTTAAAAGATAGTGTATTAGAGTATTCTATTAAAAACGATAAAATTTCTAAAAACATGTTTGAACACAAATCACAGACTTACTGATCATTGTGATTACATCTTTTCAGCTGTAACAAAATATATATAGTAATGTATAACAAATATAATGAAAAATAAATTCTACAAAAAAAAAGAAAGAAACAAATAATGACAATTATGAAATGAATGATAAAGTAAGATAAAACAGATTTATAATACTTAAAATGTACATACTGACAGGTTTCCCATCTTTCCATTGAGTAAACTTTACATTGACTTCATCACGTTTCGCAGCCTCTGCCCTCAAGTCAGCTTTTAAAGCTTGTCTGACTAATCTTGCTGCGATTTGAGAATAATTAATATAACTGTAAGAAAAAAATTTTTTTATATATATATCTTCAAAATTTTTATTAAAATAATATTCCGTAAAGTAAAATTTTACGATTATTAATGAGCAGATGATAATTTGGTTACATAATTCTTGATGACAAATTTTTATATACTTGATATATGCACAAAGAGAAGTGTAAAATACGAATCACGAGGACAAGAATTGATTTTCTTACTTTAAACCTGCTTGTCTCCACGCCGACATTTTTGCTAATAATTATGTATATTGGAAAATCAGAATGTCCGGTGTTCGAGGACAAGAGAGAAGACAGATAGAGAAAACGAAGCGCTATCTGTAGCAGAGAAACGTATTAAATTCGAGAGAGCTGTTCGCCTTAATTCCTGTTTTCTCATTGACTAGCAAAGATTTGTCCAAAATGCACCAATCACACGCATAGCGTTGAAAATGCGGCATAAAGGGAACTCGAGTTCGCGCATATGCATATCTCTATATATTTATCGCACATCGATCGGAATCTACCGCGCAACGAACGTGATTGTTGGAAATCTGAAGAAAATAAGTATTTTTCATAATTTTATTATCATATTCTTTCATTATATAAAGAGTTTCAATCAGCAGCATTAATTAACTCTATAGTCCTTTGTTTGTAGATAGAAATATGCTACATTTTTTACGTATTTTTTCGAGATGCTAGCTTTTTCAAATGGAGTACTATTTCATTAATTTTCCGACAGTGCAAACCAGATTTTTTCACTTTTTAAAGAGTTCTAATTATTAGCAGCGTTAATTATAATTATATATATACAAACGATATGATTAGAACTGTTTAAAAAAATGAGAAGATATATGGGTTAAACTATAGGAAAATTATAGAATAATAAAATAGATCTTTGTTTTATACACACACACATACACACACAAAATCGAGCATCTCGAAGATACATGCAAAATCTAACATTATACACTTTCAATCAGAAGTATCCATACAATTATAAGAAAAGTTAATTAACATTCTGCTAATTAAAACTTTAAAAAATGGAAAATCATGATAATATAAAATTATTAAAAATATTTACATCTTTAAATTCTTAACAATACTTGATCGATGTGCGCGTGTGTGTGTATATATATATATAGATTTAGTTACGTTAATTCCTATAAAATCATTGATTTTTAATATTTCGCCAGTGAATCAAAAGGTATGTTATACACACAATATATGAAAGCTGAAAAAATTTTATATACAATTAATATGCGATTATAAAATGTATGCAGAATTATTTATTATATTAATAAATAAATATATATATATATATATATATATATATATAATAAATAATTCTGCATACATTCTAATCGTATTGCTGTGAGACAAAGAATGAATTAATATAAAATAAAATTCAATAAAAGATATAAAATAAAAATAGAATAAATTAAATAACCCAATAAATATACTGTACAAAAGTCATTAATGTATAAACTTTTCTTTTCTTGTTGATAGCTATTTAAGATTATCCACTTTTATTAAAAATCGATGAAATACAAAATATATGCAAAATTACTAATGCATTTCATATTTTATGCAGATGGATCCTCAAATAAAATTTGGATAATGAAGCAGTGCCTCAAAGATAATCAGTAATGAACAACATTGCATCGAGGGTGAGTTTTTCTGTCACATTTATTTTGTAACAATATTTTTAAAAAAGTAAGTCAAAAAAAGGGAGAAAGACTATGACAAAACTACAATAATAAAAAACTAGACTAATTAGTATATAACACATAATTTGAACAGTAACAAAAAATTTAATTAATTTAAAATATTGAATTGTGTCGATTTTGTATTCTCTTCAAATGTTTAGAAAAATTGCATAAATTACAATAAGAAAAATAGATAAAGTTCAATATATTATTTTTTCGAGGAACAAAATCATAAAGTGAATAAATTTATTACAGAAATATATATAAAGGCAATAATAATATTTTTCAATATAATTTGAATAATTTATGATTAATATTGCATTAATATTGCATTTATTTAATATTGCATTAAATTCGCAAAATAATAATGCATTATAAAATAATAATGCAAAAAGTTTGAGATAATATCATAATTTAAAATTGTTTTGCCAGTGAAAGATTTTATATGCATAATATTTTCATTTACTTTTTAACTTACTTTTTTAATGATATGCTATAAGAAATACTTATTATCAAGTAAAAATATGCAGGATATTAAACATGCATAATATTGTACATCTGTTTAAATGTGCATTCATGCATATTGTTTCGATATTCTTTATTTAATTATCTATATTTTATTAATTTATTTGTTTATATAATTATCAGTTAGTAAGTTTTCTATAATTTTTAATAAATGCCATTTTTTCGGTTTTGCATTATAAATGTTCTCATTTCTTTTCGTAATGTAAAGTACTTCGTAACATTGCGATAACATTATGAGTCACATGTTTTAAGGTAGTATTCAAACATTGCGCTTTTTTCGACAATTTATAGTCGACGATTTAATATTTATTTTCCAATCTTGATGAGATGCATTTGAAACATTTGTTTTTAAGATAGATTACAGGTTTATTTTATCAAGAAATGTAATGTTGATATTTCTTTTAATAATTATCGGATAATTGAGAAAATTTTGACGTCGATAGTTATTATCGTTTCATTATTATTTATAATTCAAAAATCATGACTGATGTGTTAGACCTTGACGTAACAAAAAAAAATATTAAAAAATTATTTTTTTAATATAATTTTTCTATATTTCCTCTGACTTTCTGTATTTAATGATAAATTATTCTTTTTAATTATTTGATTTTTTTATTTATATTTGCGAATAATGATGTGAAATTTACAACGCGTAAGATGAACATTTATTATTATATCTGAATTATTATATTTGAATTTTTTTTATGATTAACATATTCTACATTTTATTTAAAATAAAGGTAAGTGAAAAGAATTTATTAAAAGAACAATTTGTCGAAGCTTACTCGGCAGATGTTCAAAAGCATATGACAGTTTTGCTTGGCGTGTTTTTACGAAACAATATCATTTTGTCAATGCTTGTGGCGTTCGCGCACCTTCGCCTATAAATACGATGTATGACTGTGTTATGTAATCGCAGTCCATCTTCTTTCCTCGATAAAACCACATTTCGTGGCTGAGGACAATAACCTCAGTAAACGCGAAAGAAAAACGCGCTGGTCACGATAAAATCGCCAATATATATGTTAATTGCATGTATCACGAATATTACAGATTATATTAATGAAGCTTAGCTTCTGAATATGATAATGACTGTATAAACATAAATATTTAAAAAATCACATTTTGTTTATATAATATATTTTATTTTCTTTTCTCTTTTATATAAAAATGATATATTCTATAAACTCATACATGCAATAATAATACATATAAAATTGTGAAATTATTTGATATCTACAGTATAATTAGTTTTTCTCATTCTTTTTAAAGTAATTCTTGATCAAATATTTTTTAAAAATTAAGATGATTAAAATGATGAAAAAATTATTATCATATACTTTACACATATATATATATATATGTATATAACATGTATATATATTTAATTTACGTCTACTTGTAATGTATAGAAAAATTTCCATTATTACTATATTTCTGTAACATATAAGTTATATGACATCTTGTCATTATGTATGACAATAATAACTGAGAAAAGAGTAATATTAAGTTGTCATAGTGCCTGATTAGTCAATGTCGCAAATTGCATTTGTCAAGTATATTAGAGATGACGTCATATTATCAGTAGATATTAAGCTGTCTGCTGATTGCATTAACGCCAAGTTAACAACGCTATAGGTAGGCTCGTAATTTTTGTATGCGTAAAAGTGACGTTAATGATTGATACTACTCGAAAGAAAACCAATTTAGCTAAATTAAATTTTCTAATATTCTTTATTACGAAGGCAATTAAAGAGATAATCGGAAATTTGTTAAACAAAACAATTTTATGCAATACAAGATGAATTAATTTTCATAAAAAAGAAACAAGAATTGCAAAAATTTATTGTATTATCAGAGCAAATGTTCAAATTCAAAAATAAATATGTGCATTTTATTAGAAGCATTACATATAGGCTATCGTATATTTTTTAAATATTTATAATATTTTCTTTAATATTTATAATATTTTCTTATGTTAAATTGATGAAATTTTAAAATCGAACTTAAAATTATCTACTTGTGTTTGTACACATACTTATAATTACGAAAAATATAAAGTAATTAAATTAATTAATCAATTCTTAAAGTTTTATGTTTAAATTTAAAATGCTTGATAATAATAATCAATAATAATAATTTATATAATATACAGATGAAAATATAATGTCTTTATTAATAGTTTAGTCTTTTAAATGTGGGAAATATGCATATTTGTTCATTAACTTCAAATTTAATAAATTAAATTCAATCAAACTTTACTAATTTTGCATAAAAATTATTATATGCAATTGCAAAATCTAATGTTGGTGGATTCGCAAATGTAAAAAAATTGAGCTTTTGTGAAAATAGGTTTTTTTAAAAGTTGTAATAAATATTATGGTATACCTACATTTGGTTAACAAAGTTTTTATGATTAGAATTTAAAATAACACTCTTAGAATGTCGCTTTTAATAATATGTATTATCGTTGATAAATTTTTTTTTTTTGCAATTTGTGACACACTGCAGTGTATGTTATATTTGCAGTATGTTATATTTGCGAATGCAGATAAAAATCATAAAAAATCCAGTTAGTAGTAATTTAAAATCTTGTTTATCTCCCTGTTGCTTGTCATGAACAAAAAAGTATATAAAACAATCACATCGCGTATTATCAGACACGCAAGAGAAAAGACATAATTAGAGTAGTCGGTCAAGTACATGAGTTTACGACTATCCGAAAAGACCTTAATTTGCAAGTATGTTTACTTTTGTATGAGACTGTATTTATCAAAAATATTATATACATTATATACATAATTATATACATTATGGAAACATTGATATGCCGCTAATGATATACATATACATACTTGGCACAGAGCAAAGATACGTAATTGAAAAATTCAGATAATTTTAATATTAAAAAGAAATACACTTGTGATTTATATTCAATTTTATTTTAATTTATATCAATTTGAGAATTTTAGCTGTCTGAAAATATGTTTACATGAAAATGCAAATGAATGATTAGTAAATATAAATATGTGTAAATATATTTATACATTAATATTGTACTTTGGTAATCTAAACTAACAATTTATTAAACTATTTATTAAACTAACTAACTAACAATTTTAAATTAATAAATTAATAGTTTTAAAATAAACGAACTTTAAAATAATTACTTAAGTAGATTATGGTTTGCCGAAATTACACAATAATTATTATATCGTTCAAGGTTGAAGTATTCTCTAAGAAATCGTTACATTACATCTTGAACAAAAATATACCGAATAGTTCCTTATTATTTTTACAGGTGAACACGTGTATATACATGAATATAATTAATTTATATAGAGTTGAGCGCCTATACTTTTTGTAATCTCAAAGTAAAAATCGAATTACGGCCAATTAATATATTATATAGTATATATTTAATTCGTATTTTTATTGTGTATAAAAACTCATTATTTATTATTTTAATATCTGAAAATCGATATATATGTTTACGGTTATATTTTTTATATAATTATATGTAATTATTTTTCTCATTGAATTATTAAAATTCGAAAGCTAAAGCTTTAGCATAAAAAAACAAACTAAATTTTGAAGATATATGATTTTATTTATTCAGCTATTTCAAAATTGTTAGATGCTAGATTGAACGAGTCATAAAAATCCACTTTTAACTGGTATAAACTACGAAGAAAAAGATAGAAAAAATTATCGGAACATATTGTGTTTCTTAGTATCTTTTCAATGTCAACAACGCAACACGAGAATTATTCTACTAATTTTTCCATTTCCATAAATGCCGGAGCTTCTTACATTCTCTGTACGCAAAATTATTATATAATACATATTAAGTAAACACGATTTAGTATTAATAAAACTAGGAATTTTGATAAATCTATCGGAAAATATTACTATTAAATATTATCTGATATACATATAATCTTGCTCAAGGAATAGATTAAATAGACGCTTTTTCTACGTATAAAGAGAGAAATGTCATTTGTCGTCTCACTGTTTGATGTTCATTGATGCTTGCGTGAGTCATTGTCGCGTATTCATGACGATCTGACAGTTTTCTTGGTATACCGAGATATGAACGTACAATGCATACAAATGACAATATGTACAAAGATACGACGGATGCAAATTTCTATTTTGTATGCACATCCTTTGTACATTATACTCTATAATTATTAGCTTACATTGCATTATAAGTTTACTACAAATATACTTACTTTATGAGCGATCGTTTGATTATGAAGTATTTATGTTTACAGATCTTTTTCAATAATAACTTTTTGATATAACGAATAGTAGAAGATTTATTTTTTCAAATAAAACATTTGTTAACTAAAAATTAAGATAATTATATACAAATATTGAATTGTGATATTATCATAATATTTATTATTTCGCGTATTTGTTGTTGTATTTAT